GGGGTTATGGCATACCTCTCCAGAATTGCCCTCTTAACTTTAAAATAGTCCTTGCTATCTTCTCTGGGCACAGCGCGATACGCCTCGGCTGCTCGTCCTGCCAACTTGCCTGCCAGTAGGGGTACCCACATAGCCTGTTCTAGATCATGTAGGTCGCACAACCGCTCAAAATCCTGCAGGTATCCGTCAATCTCGTCTTTCTCCTCGCAGAATGCTTTAAATGCCTGGTAAGGTATTTTCTGCTTCACTGGAGCGCAGAATGAATTGGCGATGGATTCTGCCCTGGATGGTGACCTCTGGTGTTGCTGTGCCATAATATAATCCTGGACGTCCGCCATCAGTATAGTTAAGATGTCCAGGGTTACTGGCTGTGGTACAAATTCCAGCCGGGTTCTCAGTTCCCTCTGGTACGGTGTTTCCTCTCTGGCAGGTGGGGGTGGACTGCTGTGTGCTTGGTCGCCCTCCATTAGCTCTGCAATCAGGACTGCTTTTGATTTATTGCTAGCGCTTTTCCCTCTAGCCTCCAGCAGCTCCTTTAGCGTCTGTCTCTTTAACGCCGTGTAATCAGTCCCCATTCACTGATCGCTTTCGTCTGCTTGTTTCATACGAATTGCCTTTCCGTTCGGTAATTCCTTTCATTCGAATGCGCTGTATTCGGCTGTAGAGTTGGATCCCGTCGCTTGCCACCAATTGTAGCGGAACGCCAATATAAAATCCACGAATTCCGCTGGTCCAGAACGAATCCACAGTCAAGCGCTGAAAACACCAAGGCAATATCCCCAACCTCCCAATAACCGGACGAGACACAGTTTTGGGAGTCAACTGACAATCCTTTATTCAGCACGACAATTTATACAAGTCCCCATGCAAGGGGTCTCCTGAGTCCCTTCCCAGGGGCATTCCCAGAGGGGACTACATGGGGGACTTACAGTATAACATATTTCTCCCATCAGGCACTGCTGCACGAGAGGGATCATCCTCCCAGAATGCACCGTTAAGGGGATTATCCCCTCGTGCAGCAGAACCGGCAATTCATATAAAAATACATAACTTTTAAAATACACGGTGGATTTACACGAATGGGCGTTCGGTAGATAGCTGGGGTCTGGGCGCATCATTCGTGAGATTGCCGCTCAGATCCCAGCCAAATTAACCGAACGCCGCACAGAAAACACATTTCTTACAAAACCCACAAAAGGAACCGATTGCTTTGGGTGAACTTGGTCCTGAAACTCCCGAACGTCTGGGAGGCTCAGCGGTGTTCGTGCCGTCGAATAACTATTGGTAGTAGTATGCGTTCGACGACACGAACCCGCTGACGAACAAGGGATCCAAGATGGCCGACCGCCGCATGGTCGGTAGTCGAACGACGGCCACCCAGGAGAGCCTCTAATAACCGATTGCAACAATGTTGCAATCGGTTAACTAGCGCCACACGCCTCTAAGTGTGTGGGCTATTAGGGGGTATCGCGTTCGGTTCACGAACGGCTTTCTAAAGTGCCGTTCGTGAAACGAAAGAAAATCCCCATACAAAACCGCCAATTGCATTCGGCGGAAACAGTATTACAGGCAACACGGAAAATACCTTAACATCTACATATGTGTACAGCGCATATCTCGCCCGACCTAGTGGCAACCCTTAAAGGCACAGTCTCTAGTTATTGTCCAAGTGGCTAGGTTTGCCACACACATATTAGATTCTCTACAATAACACATCCCCTACACACTCCACTCCCTGTGAGCGAACTCATGGGTGGGTGGAACATATAAGTGGACTTATGAGTGGGCCTTGTGGGCATACTCACCGTCAGGCCCTGGGGCCCAGAACTTGAGCTGTGTAAGGGGCCCCCCAAAAATGGAGCTGCTTCCAATTCTCCCAGAACATTGAATTTTGTGACCACAGTTTCAAACAGCCTCCAGAGATCCTGTTCTACACCAGACCAGTGGAGCCAAACTGCAGCCCATCATCATCCTCATCTTTTTGTAAGTAGGCAATCTAGTATATTATTAGTGACACTAATCTATAATTTACCTCACATTAAAGGGACACTATAGTCCCCAGAATGACTGAGGCTTAATGAAGTGGTTCTGGTGTTATTAGAATTATTAGGCAAATGAGTATTTTGACCACATCATCCTCTTTATGCATGTTGTCTTACTCCAAGCTGTATAGGCTCGAAAGCCTACTACCAATTAAGCATATTAGGTGATGTGCATCTCTGTAATGAGAAGGGGTGTGGTCTAATGACATCAACACCCTATATCAGGTGTGCATAATTATTAGGCAACTTCCTTTCCTTTGGCAAAATGGGTCAAAAGAAGGACTTGACAGGCTCAGAAAAGTCAAAAATAGTGAGATATCTTGCAGAGGGATGCAGCACTCTTAAAATTGCAAAGCTTCTGAAGCGTGATCATCGAACAATCAAGCGTTTCATTCAAAATAGTCAACAGGGTCGCAAGAAGCGTGTGGAAAAACCAAGGCGCAAAATAACTGCCCATGAACTGAGAAAAGTCAAGCGTGCAGCTGCCACGATGCCACTTGCCACCAGTTTGGCCATATTTCAGAGCTGCAACATCACTGGAGTGCCCAAAAGCACAAGGTGTGCAATACTCAGAGACATGGCCAAGGTAAGAAAGGCTGAAAGACGACCACCACTGAACAAGACACACAAGCTGAAACGTCAAGACTGGGCCAAGAAATATCTCAAGACTGATTTTTCTAAGGTTTTATGGACTGATGAAATGAGAGTGAGTCTTGATGGGCCAGATGGATGGGCCCGTGGCTGGATTGGTAAAGGGCAGAGAGCTCCAGTCCGACTCAGACGCCAGCAAGGTGGAGGTGGAGTACTGGTTTGGGCTGGTATCATCAAAGATGAGCTTGTGGGGCCTTTTCGGGTTGAGGATGGAGTCAAGCTCAACTCCCAGTCCTACTGCCAGTTCCTGGAAGACACCTTCTTCAAGCAGTGGTACAGGAAGAAGTCTGCATCCTTCAAGAAAAACATGATTTTCATGCAGGACAATGCTCCATCACACGCGTCCAAGTACTCCACAGCGTGGCTGGCAAGAAAGGGTATAAAAGAAGAAAATCTAATGACATGGCCTCCTTGTTCACCTGATCTGAACCCCATTGAGAACCTGTGGTCCATCATCAAATGTGAGATTTACAAGGAGGGAAAACAGTACACCTCTCTGAACAGTGTCTGGGAGGCTGTGGTTGCTGCTGCACGCAATGTTGATGGTGAACAGATCAAAACACTGACAGAATCCATGGATGGCAGGCTTTTGAGTGTCCTTGCAAAGAAAGGTGGCTATATTGGTCACTGATTTGTTTTTGTTTTGTTTTTGAATGTCAGAAATGTATATTTGTGAATGTTGAGATGTTATATTGGTTTCACTGGTAATAATAAATAATTGAAATGGGTATATATTTGTTTTTTGTTAAGTTGCCTAATAATTATGCACAGTAATAGTCACCTGCACACACAGATATCCCCCTAACATAGCTATAACTAAAAACAAACTAAAAACTACTTCCAAAAATATTCAGCTTTGATATTAATGAGTTTTTTGGGTTCATTGAGAACATGGTTGTTGTTCAATAATAAAATTAATCCTCAAAAATACAACTTGCCTAATAATTCTGCACTCCCTGTATAGCCGGTCCCTGCAGGCTTTTTAATGTAAACACACACTGTGGGCAGTACTGGCGTTAGTTCGTATGGCAGCTCTTATAGGTGGGGCATTGTGATGTTACATGGGGGGCGGCATATACAGCTGTTCCCCATGCAGCCACAGGTGCCGCTGTGCTGGGAGATTGTGATTACTCTTCACTTCCTCCCAGCCTACAGAGCAGCGCATGGGAAAGAGAGAGGAGGAGGCATGATTTAATCTTACAACAAATCCAGTAAGCAAATCTTTATAAATTTGGGGGGATCAGCTCTGTTTCCACAGTTTATTGGTGTTTAGTAGTAACATCAGTGTGTGTCAGCAGGGCCAGCCATTGGGGTGTGCACGCTGTGCGGTCACGCAGGGTGCCATCACAATAGAGGCGCCCCGTGGACAACACAGCTCACAAGTTGGGGACACCAGCCTATTCAATTTAAACGATTCGCTGGTGGTCCACTGGTGCGCACAAGCAGTAGGTGCAGTCAGATTATAGCCTCTCCCTCATGGTTCCGACGCTCAGTTAGTGAGTCAGAGCACAGGCTCAGAGATTCTCAGCCTGCGCTCTGACAACATTGAAAGTCAGAGCCGTGAAGGAGCGGGTATGGCAAAGAGCTACTGATTAGCATAACATCAATATCCGTTATAAAACTAGGAAAAGGTGGGCACCATTGCACTGATTTGGTGGTGCAATGGGCCACTTGACTGGTTTTCCCCCCCAGGCCTAAGGCTGCCAGCCCTCCCCTGCTCAGATGGCTACAAAAGGTGCTTCCTAGGTCAGTGCTGCACAGTATGCAGCACTGGCATTCAACATCTCCACACATTGCTATGAGGCGCTCAACGTTCCCCATAGAGATGCATTTATTCACAGCATTTCTATGCTGAGATGATAGGCACAGCGTGGTGTTTTGCCGCTCATGTGGGAAAACATTCAATTGGCTGAGATAATCGTATTTTATGATTTCAGCCATGGAAATGCAGTGGTGAGACTGGCACGATGTGGGAGAAAAGGTAAGTTTAAACACCTTTTTACTACACAGAAAGGGGTGTTCCTTTAAGCATTTTATAAATGTAACACAAATAAAATAAATATGGAAAATAAAATAAATATATGTATGCCACATAAAACCCATTACAGAACGTACAATTGCATGTTCTGCAATATCCCGAGTACTAAAATATTTTATAATTTATAGACCCTATTGTAGTCTTCTTATCATAGCTGTTTTTTTTTTTTTTAACTCATCTCCACTCTTGGTTTGCTGTTGGTTGCAGATCCTGGTCATAGACTTCCCAGCCCATTTTTTGTCAGTGACCTCCCCTTGTATCAAAGTCACCGACATCACAGAGCATCATGTTGCCACCACCCGTGAATCTGAATTGGCGAAGGAGCTGAGGAACAGCCCATTTCCCCGCCTCTTCTAAAGGGCAGAGACTCACGAAGTTAGAATCCTTCTTCCGCCCTGAATCCTGCACTATCCTGTGTGGAAGGCTGCTGTGGGTGAGTGGGTGGGTGGGTGCGGTTGGATGTCAGCTCTTGGGGTCAAAACTCACGTTCGCCTGGTGGAATTAGAATCATAACTTCCGCAACTTTCATTCTCTCCCACAAAATTCTGTACTGCTGATGCCAGACCAAAGTCATTTGCATTTTAGATTTTTTTAGGCGGGTGCAAGTTTATACATGCAACAGATGCAATCCTTTAGTTTAGCCCTTTTTTCTGTGGATGTCTGACTATAGATTTGTTATTATCAATTTTGTTATATGAACATGTTTGATCCCAGCTGTGTTTCTACTAAGAATCTCCAATTCTTATATTTCACTTTGTTTTTAATCAGCCCTGCTTTATGAGACTAGATGCTGCCTCGTGTATATCTAGTAATCTGTCAGGTTAAAAAGCCATCCTAAAGTATAAGAGTGAACGCTACTGTAGGTTGAATGTACGCAGAAGTCAATATATATTATGTGGTACAACCAAAGGAGCAGTTTGTAGAGGATACACAGCACTCTGTAACTTGATACTTTAGTTTTACTATTGCAGGAAGTATAGTTTCTATAAGTTAGACCTAAATTGAACACTACAATTTTATTTTTATATATATATATATATATATATATATATATATATATATATATATATATATATATATATTTATTAACACTAAAACAATATAACAGAAAAATACAGGAACATATCTAAAAATATATATATTTTAGAACAGTTTAACTGTTAATGCAATCAAACATTCTACTATGGTTAAAGTCCACCAGTTGTTCTCGTATGATTAACATAGTTGGTTCAGTTATGCTCTTATAACCCATTTCCATTAAGTAAAGGATATTCCGGATTTATCGACAATGCTTAAAGACAGAGAAACGGCAAAACATTGTCTACAAGATAAATGCGTTTTACATGCGTAAAGAAATTCCTGTTCATGTCATGGGATGATATTGGCATTAAAGGAACACTATAGTCACCTAAATTACTTTAGCTAAATAAAGCAGTTCTAGTGTATAGATCATTCCCCTGCAATTTCACTGCTCAATTCACTGCCATTTAGGAGTTAAATCACTTTGTTTCTGTTTATGCGGCCCTAGCCACACCTCCCCTGGCTATGATTGAAAGAGCCTGCATGAAAAAAAAAAATTGTTTTCACTTTCAAACAGATGTAATTTACCTTAAATAATTGTATCTCAATCTCTAAATTGAACTTTAATCACATACAGGAGGCTCTTGCAGGGTCTAGCAATCTATTAACATAGCATTGGATAAGAAAATCGTAATTAAACAGAACTTGCAATAAAGAAATCCTAAATAGGGCTCTCTTTACAGGAAGTGTTTATGGAAGGCTGTGCAAGTCACATGCAGGGAGGAGTGACTAGGGTTCATAAACAAAGGGATTTAACTCCTAAATGGCAGAGGATTGAGCAGTGAGGCTGCAGGGGCATATTCTATACACCAAAACTGCTTTATTAAGCTAAAGTTGTTCAGGTGACTATAGTGTCCCTTTAACAGGAAGCGAGAGATGGATATATTATAAACAAGGATGTCGAGCAGAAATACCTTTGTTCTAATATGTGCTTCACAGCTGGTTAGGTTCAAAATACCAAAAAATAGTGGATAGATTCCTTTATAGCTTTAGGTGACTGGAACTCCCAGTAAAGTAAAAAAAATAAATAAATAAAATAAAACATTAAAGGGACTCTATAGTCACCTGAACAACTTCAGCTTAATGAGGTTGTTCAGGTGAGAACAATAGCTCCCTGCAGCCTTTCTCATGTAAACATTGGAAGCTAGGAACACCCCCAGTGGCAGTCCCTCAGACGGCCACCAGAGGGACTTCGGAGTTCGTGAATGCCTAATTCGCGTTCATCACGTTTGACGTCTTCACGCTTCACGGTGAAGACACCAAACGTGCTATCAGGAGGCAATGTCCAAGAGAGTGTAGCAATATGCTCTTAAAAGAGCAAGTGATAATAATCCCAGGGGAGTATAGTGATATAGCAATCCCCAGAGTAGATACAGCTATTTCCCCCACACATGAGACTCTTATGTTGAGGGTAAGCAGGAACACATTTATTGGCAGCCACAACTGGCCTTATAGACAGGTCCCCATGCAAGGGGCACTCCCCCTGTACCTGAGAGTAGACTACAGTAAAAACATACACACAATTACATTGGCTCTCAGGTACAGGACACGCCCACATAAAACAAGTTAATCCCTCCTCTGTGCCTGGGAGATAATTGAGTCAGGCACTGTACTAAACTCAATCATCTCTAGGCACAGAAAACATACATTTTTACAAAACCCCCAAATAACTTTAAACACACAAAACCCCCACAAAAGTTACATCCCTTTATAGCCCCGATCTGGCTGACCAACATATTTAAAAAATCACCCAGATCGGTTCAGAGGTTTGGGAATTTCCTGGAAGTCATAATTTGATCGACTGCATGGTCCCATGCACAAAACAGTTCCAGAGAATCAGGGCGATCTAGTTCGGTAGTTTAAAAACCGAACAAATTACTGAACATAGTCAATGTTCTTACCCTGTAGCTTGTTCATCTTATTTGTGGGAACGTTTCCACCGAACAGTGCCCTTCTAAGTTGTAGAGAACCAAATGCAGGCGATCCTGGAAGTCCAGCGGTGTTCGGGAGTTTGTGTCCGAAAACAGTTCCATGAACTCAACGGCCAAACACCGCTGCCTGCGTTCTTGGGAACAAGATGGCCGTTCATGCGAACACTTAGAACACTGCGGTGGAAAGTGTTGCAAACGGTCAATTAGGCTTAAAAAGATCCCGGGTTGTCTCTGGTTCGTGAAGTGGTTCTGGTGTCTATAGCCGGTCCTTGCAGGCTTTTTAATGTAAATGACACCAGAAACCCATGAACCAAGTCTGTTCACATAGTTTTTAAAGGGCCCATAGTCTGGCAAGCAGGCCCCTCCAAGAACACTTGACAGAGGCATTTCTGCCACAGTCTTTTTTTACTTTTCCTCTTTCAACTATCAAGTAGATAGCTTTCCTAATTTGGCATCCTGATGTGGGTTTTCCCTACTTAGGATGCCAAATTTGGGCACTTTTTAGTAGATAACTCCCTAATTTGATACTTCACTGTGGAGTTCCCCAATTTAGGATACCAAATAAGGGCTCTGTTTAGTAGATGGTGTGAAAAGTGCTGCTCATTGTGAAAACCGCAGCATTTATCATCTTTAAGCACATCAGTTTGCTTGCTTGGTTTTATTATTAGATTTTTTTAAAAAGAAAAATCTTTTATACTGTTGTGCAGGACGTGAGAAGTGCAACACTCTGTGGCTTTGAAAACCACTCTATCACCGTGGCAGCATTTGTGAAACCCTGCACAAACCTTTTCTAAATTATTTTATTGTTTTGTTTTTGGAACTTTGTTAATGTGGTTGTGCAGGTTGTGAAAAGTGCTGCCCTCTGACTTTAAAAACCACTAAACTGTTGGGCAGCAATTTTAATGCCCTGATGAAGAGTTTTTCCCTTTACTTAAAAAAATTGGAGAACATGGAAAAATGGAGTCAAATACATGCACATGCCTTTATACAGAGGCAAAGGCAAGCCCATACTTCAAAAAGAGGACACTACAAATGAGAATAAAATTAGAGATAAAAGTATGCACTTGATATATGATTCCCTTTAAAAATAAAACTTATCACATTGACAATACTGTCAGAATACATACAAAATGTACATATTTATTTAAATATAACAAAGCTATAAGTGACCACTAAAGCTGTAAATCAACAATGGTACTATATCAAAATCATCTGTGAGACATTAAAGCACTATAGGCACCCAGACCACTTCAGCTCAATGAAGTGGTCTGGGTGCCAGGTCCCTCTAGTTTTAACCCTGCAGCTGTAAATATAGCAGTTTCAGAGAAACCGCTATTTTTACACCAGGGTTAATCCAGGCTCTAGTGGCTGTCTCACTGACAGCTGCTAGAGGACATTCTGCGCTTCTCACTGTGAAAATCACAGTGAGAAGACGCTGGACATCCATAGGAAAACATTGAGTAATGCTTTTCTTTGGGCGATTTGAATGTGTGCGCCGCTCTTGCAGTGCATGCGCATTCGGATCTGACGTCGGCAGGAGGAGGAGAGTTCCCGGCGCTGGAGAAAGGTAAGTGACTGAAGGGGTTTTAACCCCTTCAGCCCAGCGGGAGTGGGACCCTGAGGGTGGGGGGGACCTAAAGACCCTATAGTGCCAGGAAAACTGGTTTGTTTTCCTGGCACTATAGTGGTCCTTTATAAATAAGCATTTAAAAACAACTTGTCCTACAAAGGTAAAAAAGAATCAGCATGCAAAATGTTGCGAAGTTAGCAAACAGTGTTGCGAGCTGCCAGAAATAAAAAAATACAGTATAAGTTGGTAAATGGGTATCACCATGAAATAAGCTTAAAGGACCACTATAGGCACCCAGACCACTTCAGCTTAATTAAGTGGTCTGGGTGCCAGGTCCAGCTAGGGTTAACCCTTTATTCTATAAATAAAGAAGTTTCATAGAAACTGCTATGTTTATGTTAGGGTTAATCCAGCCTCCAGTGGCTGTCTCTTGACAGCCGCTAGAGGCGCTTGCGTGCTTCTCACTATGAAAATCACAGTGAGAAGACGCCAGCGTCCATAGGAAAGCATGCGCATTCATCCGAAGAGGGAGGAGAGGAGGAGGAGAGCTCCCCGCCTGGTGCTGGAGAAAGAAGTAAGTTTAACCCCTTCCTCTCCATCCAGCCCGGCGGGAGGTGCCCCCACCCTCAGGGCACTATAGTGCCAGGAATACGAGTGTTTTCCTGGCACTATAGTGGTCCTTTAAGTTGGATGTCCTCAATATGTGTATACTGCGGTATATTTTGTTACTGCTTGCAGGCTTATAAGAAGCTGGACAGGTCTGACATAGGTACACACCACCATGTGGCAGAATGAGGCACAGACGTCTGTGGGTGTAATAGAATCTAAGACGGCATTTATGATTGGATCTGATCAACTGAGAATATGTAGTTGAGCAAAATAGAAACAGGCACTGCTGTCTGTCTCCCACCTGGGCTACTTTTCAACTGTTGTAGGTGTAATAAATCCCAGCTGAATAAACAAGTTGATTCCACATTGTAGGGTTATAAGCAGTAAAAATAGTAATAGCTCAGTTTAATAACCGTAAAAAGAATGGCCCAGTCTACACGTTTTGTCCATGTCATCGACTTTCTCAAGACCCAATCATTCTAAAGGCGACTTCCCTGGAAGTATCCTTATAAGAAACGATTCATCTCCCAATTAAAGAGAAATTAGGTTTCTTAAAGAAAAATAGCCACAAGAGAAAAGAAAATATTAAAAGGAAACCAACATACAAGGGAAGAAAGCTGATCATACAAGTGTACCATAACAAGTAACAATATTAACAAATTAAAATCAAAGTGAAAGAACCATAATCAATATATATATAAATATATTACGTTTTAAAAATAATTACACTGAAAAAATGGAATCAATAATTTAGTATTTCTTTATTTCATTGCTCTTATTTTCACTTTCATTAAAAAATAGATTTAAAAAGAAAACAAAAGACCCCTCAAAAATCTTATCAAAAAGTAGTTAAATTGAGTTGCAAGACATTATATTATATTATATAATTCTTAATGTAATCCTTTAGTTAGGTTTTTATGCCCAGCAATCCCCTAATTTTATATTGGGTACCAGAATCCTCTTCCTCCACACCATCAATAAGTAGAACCTCCAATCCTTTGGAGTCCAAATTCTGCATGTGCTAAAAGTGCCTAGATAGGGATGTGTGGTCTTAACACTTATCACCGAACTTCTATGTACCCTAAACCAGGACTTCAAGGGATCTCAATGTTTGTCCAACATACTGAGTCACCCAAGGGCATTTCAGCAATTATTCAACACATGTACTTTCACATGTAAATCTTCATTGTATGTGGAATTAAGAGCCATTGCTTTGGGAAATAAATATGATACTGCCATGTTTGTGATATTGGCAGGTTATACATCTGGTGTTTCCACATTTAAAACGGCTCACAGGATAAATTGCAATACTTCTTTCATATTTTATTTACTGAGATGCTCATGTGGGTTGCAGTATGTTGGGAAGGCCACCTAGCTATTTTGCGCAATGATAGAAAATCATCTGTCACGTATCATTTTAGACTAGCGCATAGCTGTGATCCCAAAAGATTACTGTTGAAGTGATGCATCTAGTGTTATAAACATTATCTTTACTTAACCTATTAAGGCCCAAACTTCTGGAATAAAAGGGAATCATGACATGAGTTAAACTAGGTCTTAATCTCATGGGCAGGGCCGGACTGGGAAAAAAATTAGGCCCGGGCATTTTTCAATTAGAGCGGCTCCCCAAGAAGGGGGCGGGGCCAGATAGGGTGTATTTTGTCATCACTAATGACAAGAACGCCTCCTCTAAAAGTTAGCATGTTGGTTCAATGCGCAGAGCCCCCTGAAGAGCTCTAGCATTAGAAAAAGGCCCTGTATTTGTTCTGCACAGCGCAAGCAAATGTAATAACATGCTTGTGCTGTGTTTGCTTTTAAATTGTCTCTGGTGTCTCCACAAGTGGGATACCAGAGGACAAAAGGGCCAGGAAAGTGTATGTTGCATGTGTTTGGCGCATGCTTGTGGGATTGCCTGTGTGTAGAGTGTGGTGTGGTATTGTGTAAATAGATCCATTTTGTGGTGTAATATGTGTGGCTAGGGGTTGTAGAGAGTGCTTGTATAGGGGCATAATGTTATAGGGTATGTAGCGAGTGTGTGCATACGGGCAGTAGTGTGTGTATAGGTGACGTAGTGTGTGTAGGGGTTGTAGAAAGGGTGTGTTTAGAGAATGTTGTATATGTTTGCTTACAAGGAATGTAGTGTGTGTGTGTAGGTGGTGCAGTGTGTGTGTGTGTGTGTGTGTGTGTGTGTAAGAGATCTAGTGTGTAAAGGACCCAGAGTGTGTACAGAAAATTATGTGTGTGTGTTTGTGTAGAGTGCATATAGGGTAAGGGATCTAATGTGTATCTGGAGCATAATGTGTGTAGTGGTGCTGTAGTGTGTGTGTGTATATGTATGTGTATATATATGTATATATGTATGTGTGTATATATATATATATATATATATATATATATATATATATATATATATATATATATATATATGTATATATGTATATGTGTGTGTGTGTGGGAGTGAGGGTGCTGTCTGTCTGGGGGCGCTGTGTGTGTGTGTGTCTGGGGGCTGTTAGGGAATTTATTTTAAATATTTTTTTTTTTTATTAATAAAATTATGCCCCCTTCTTACCTTTTAGCCTGGGGAGTGCCTTGTTGCCATGAGGGGGGGCATGCTGACATGGAGGGTGCTATATAACGTGTGTATTCTTTAATGGCATAGCTAATGCTTATTTGTTATTTTCACTCAGTAATCTGGGTTGACACACCACAATCTCCCTGCAACCTGGTCTATCCATACCCACGCGGCCTCTGGTGATCATGAAGGAGTGGTTTACTAACCAATGTGACTTGGGGGTTTTGGCTAGGGCAGACCTGTGAGAGCTATCCTACCTACCTCATGATGTGTGACCCTGGGGGTGATGCAGTCGCTGTAGATAGAGGAAAGACGAGACAGGGGGGATATGATAGAAACATTTAAATATATAAAGGGAATCAACACAGTAAAGGAGAAGACTATATTTAAAAGAAGAAAAACTACCACAACAGGAGGACATAGTCTTAAATTAGATGGTCAAAGGTTTAAAAATAATATCAGGAAGTATTACTTTACTGAGAGGGTAGTGGATGCATGGAATAGCCTTCCAGCTGAAGTGGTAGAGGTTAACACAGTAAAGGAGTTTAAGCATGCGTGGGATAGGCATAAGGCTATCCTAACTATAAGATAAGGCTAGGGACTAATGAAAGTATTTAGAAAATTGGGCAGACTAGATGGGCCGAATGGTTCTTATCTGCCGTCACATTCTATGTTTCTATGTTTCTAGATCATATGTGTCAGACATTAGTGGTTTCACTTTTGGGTGGGTGGGGTGGCATAAGTGCTCTGGGTCTGTACTCCAGGTTGTTAGGATGGGGCCTCAGACCAATGTTGTCAATGCCCGTCCTGGAGAAGTCTGCTTGGGCATATCAGTTTGCCATGTCAGCCCACACTTAAATGTAGTGATCAGTTCATGCCTATGCCAACATCCCATTCCCAGCAGTTGATAGACACAGCAATTTGATGGGCGCAGCTGCCGGACTCTGTCGATGTATAATGTGATGTTCAAGAATGTGGTATCAGTATCTCATGCGCCATTGAGTGGCTATCTTAGGGTAGAATAGACGTGGGAGTCCATAGGTCCCAAGTCTCTTTCCAAAAATGTTTGAGTGGTTTGGCTTTCCTGGCCATGACTTCATATGGCTTTGCAGTATTAACAATCTGGGTGCATGTTGTAATATTGGGGGTGTTATTCTCCAACCAGGCTTTGCTAATGGTGGTTAGGGCTGCTATTAGAATGTGGTAGATCAAGTATTGTTTGTATTTTGGTATATCCTTTGGGATGAGTTGCAAATACACTGCTCAAAAAAATAAAGGGAACACTTAAACAACACAATGTAACTCCAAGTCAATCACACTTATGTGAAATCAAACTATCCACTTATGAAGCAACAGGGAGTGGCAATCAATTTCACATGCTGTTGTGCAAATGGGATAGACAACAGGTGGAAATTATACGCAATTAGCAAGACACCCCCAATAAAGGAGTGGTTCTGCAGGTGGTGACCACAGACCACTTCTCAGTTCCTATGCTTCCTGGCTGATGTTTTGGTCACTTTTGAATGCTGGCGGTGCTTTCACTCTAGTGGTAGCATGAGACGGAGACTACAACCCACACAAGTGGCTCATGTAGTGCAGCTCATCCAGGATGGCACATCAATGCGAGCTGTGGCAAGAAGGTTTGCTGTGTCTGTCAGTGTAGTGTCCAGAGCATGGAGGCGCTACCAGGAGACGTGGAGGAGGCCGTAGGAGGGCAACAACCCAGCAGCAGGACCGCTACCTCCGCCTTTGTGCAAGCAGGTTCACACTGAGCACATGTGACAGACGTGACAGAGTCTGGAGACGCAGTGGAGAACGTTCTGCTGCCTGCAACATCCTCCAGCATGACCGGTTTGGCAGTGGATCAGTAATGGTGTGGGGTGGCATTTCTTTGGGGGGCCGCACAGCCCTCCATGTGCTCGCCAGAGGTAGCCTGACTGCCATTAGGTACTGAGATGAGATCCTCAGACCCCTTGTGAGACCATATGCTGGTGCGGTTGGCCCTGGCTTCCTCCTAATGCAAGACAATGCTAGACCTCATGTGGCTGGAGTGGGTCAGCAGTTCCTGCAAGACGAAGGCATTGATGCTATGGACTGGCCCGCCCGTTCCCCAGATCTGAATCTAATTGAGCACATCTGGGACATCATGTCTTGCTCCATCCACCAACATCACGTTGCACCACAGACTGTCAAGGAGTTGGCAGATGCTTTAGTCCAGGTCTGGGAGGAGATCCCTCAGGAGACCATCCGCCACCTCATCAGGAGCATGCAGAGGCATTGTAGGGGGGTCATACGGGCACGTGGAGGCCACACACACTACGGAGCCTCATTTTTACTTGTTTTAAAGGACCACTATAGGCACCCAGACCATTTCAGCTTAATGATGTGGTCTGGGTGCCAGGTCCAGCTAAATTTAACCCTTTTTTCAATAAACATAGCAGTTTCAGAGAAACTGTTATGTTTATGTTAGGGTTAATCCAGCCTCTAGTGGCTGTCTCACTGACAGCCGCTAGAGGGCTTCCGCGTTTCTCACTGTGAAAATCACAGTGAGAAGACGCTAGCGTCCATAGGAAAGCATTCTGGCTGAATGCGCGCGCAGCTCTTGCCGCGCATGTGCATTCAGCTGAAGAGGAGGAGAGAAGGAGTAGAGCTCCCCACCCGGCGCTGGAGAAAGAGGTAAGTTTAACCCCTTCCTCTCCATCCAGCCCGGCGGGAGGGGGACCTTGAGGGTGGGGGCACCCTCAGGGCACTATAGTGCCATGAAAAAGAGTATGTTTTCCTGGCACTATAGTGGTCCTTTAAGGACATTACATCAAACTTGGATCAGCCTGTAGTGTGTTTTTTCCACAGTGTAACTCCAAATCCAGACCTCCATGGGTTGAAAAATTTGATTGCCGTTTTTTTATTTTTATGTGATTTTGTTGTCAGCACATTCAACTATGTAAAGAACAAAGTATTTCAGAAGAATATTTAATTTATTCAGATCTAGGATGTGTTGTTTTTGTGTTCCCTTTATTTTTTTGAGCAGTGCATATTTCTGGGTCTTTTGGTACGTTTACCTGTGTAGAATTCAAAATTAGTGCTGCAACCTTGTCCCAATATGGTTTAAGCTTAAGGCACGTCCACCACATATGGTATATTGTGCAAGACTGCTTCAGGCATCTCCAACATGTGCTGGATGAGTACAGTCCCATATGTTTCAATCTGGCGGGCACAAGGTACCAGCGATATAGATTTTTCCTGGATAATTTGATGTGTGATGTGCATAAAGTGAACATTTTGTTTGCCAGGAAAACTGTTCTCACAAGCATTTACCCTTAAATAGTGCTTTTTTTGAATAAGATTATCCTCCAACATCCATAAAGCAAGCGTATACTAGGGCAAGTGAGATGAAGAGAAATTACATAATACACCCATCTGGGGTAGAGGATACTGATGTTTTTTCAGTCAGTGGTCACTCAGATTTTTGGGCCTGTTGGCAGCATCCTAGAGGGGAATCAAATCCAGGTGTCCTATTAGTACTAGGAATCTACTACATAATAAAGGTCCGATATGTGACATGCTTCAATTGTTGTTTTGAAGATTTATTTATATCCTTCATAAGCATTTTAAAACTTGATTCCTGGCTTGGTTTTAGTATTCTTCAAAGCCCTAGGGTTACTTTTAAAAGAAGTAGGAATTTTTAAAATAGTCTAAATTAATTATATTAAAATTCCTAGACAGATCTCGTGGTGTTAGTAATATTGGGAATGTTCATTGTGGAGGTACTCTTTGTCTTACATGTCTCATGGTTACATAGCTGAAAAGAGACATGTATCCATCAAGTTCAGCCTTTCTTACATTTGTTTTTGCTGTTGATCCAAATGAAGGAAAAAAAAAAAGTTTGAAGCGCATCCAATTTTGCACTACACTATGAAAAAACTTCTTCTTGACCCCAGAATGGCAGTCAGATATCTCCTTGGATCAAGAAGCGATTACCCCACTAATTAAATATTATATCCATGTATATTTTGTTTTTGCAAGTATTTATTCAATTGCGATTCAAACATCTGTATAAACTCTGATGAAACCACCTCTTCAGGCAGAGAATTCTACATCCTTGTTCTTACTATAAAAACCCTTTCCTTTGCCTTAGACTCAATCTTTCTTTTTCTTCTAGCCTACATGTGTGACCTTGTGTCCCAAGTATAGTTATATGTATAAACATATTTCTAGAGAATGGTTTGTATTGGCCCCAAATATATTTGTATAATGCTATCATATCCCCTCTAAGGTGCCATTTTTCCAAACTAATTTAAACTTGTTTATCTTTCTTCAACTAAAATGCTCCATTCCTTTGATCAATTTTGTAGTCTGCCTCTGTACTTTTGCTAGTGCCATAATATCCTTCTTTAGAACAGGTCCCCAAAATTGCAAAGCATATTCAAGGTGTAGTTTAATTTGCCATGGGAATGTGGGCATTGGACCTTTAGTAGAGGATGCCATGTGTGCTGTAGCCCACAGGATAAATGTTGGCAAAGCCATCTATCTATTTTTCGCAATAGATTGAAAATAATCTGCCATGTATCATTTTAGGCTAGAGCATAGCTGTGATCCCTCTTCCATTTTGGTTATGGGGATTGAGTGGAACCCTCCAAAAGGGATGTAGCTAAAAAAAAAAAAAAAGAGAGAACCTTGTATGCTGCAGAATCCAGTTGGATCATTAAATTTAAATAAATACACTCATTACCAATGGCCTTAAAGAAGATGAGATGGATATAATGTATTTATACCAGGGGTTCACAATTATTTTTTTCCCGTGGAACCCTTTAACACAGGGTTCCAACATTGTGGAACCAACCCCCCTAAAAAAATTTGTGCCGTGACACAAACCTTTTAATTAGTGGAGTGTAATGTTTTCCTTTCCGCCCCCCTTCCCCGCAAATTTAGTTTTTTGGTATATATACAATTAATTATTTCTACAGATAGTAAACAGATTGTAGTACTTAGGAGCAAGTGTGCTTTTGTGTGTAGAGTTGGTGTTTGTATGTAATGTTTGCATTTGCGTGTAGGGCGTGTGATTGGATGTAATGTTAGCTTTTAAATGCATGTGTGTAATATTGATAGAAAAACCACAGGTATAGGCGCTCTCTAGAATGTATAAGTGGACGGCAGCAGTAAACCAGCAGGATTTCCCAATACCTGCTGTTAACCAGAAAGTGCAACAACAGAGTGGTGAACCGCGCCACAGGATAGTAGAGGATAATTAAGTATGAATAACAATATATACATACATACGGAGTATCCCAGTAATAAGGTAGTAAATATAAACCTTAAAAAGATTAAAATAGAGACAATAATAGTGCAGTATACCAATGCAAGGTAATACAAAAGTGAAATATTGACGAAAACCAGTAGAAGGACCAACTCACACTTTTCAGAGTTGCTAAGAGCTCTGCTGTATAGCGCCTGGATGGTATGATCCCCGTCTAAGGATATAGGAGTGGTGGTGATATCTGGTTTCCAAGGCTCCACAGACTTATATAAAATAAAAGCACAAATAAAATCCAATAGTGTAATATGTATAAAAAATGTTAAATAAAAGCAAAATGTTAAATAAAAGCAATTTCCAGAGCACTACACTTGCTCTGGTGGTGAACGCTTGTGGTGGTATAATCCACACCAAGGGATATAAGCAGGATCCAAGGTGCACAGGAATAAGAGGTAGATCAAGGCTGGAGACAAACTACAACTTTATTGTTAAAATAAAAAATCTTGGAGGGGGCGTGGCCAACTCGGAGCAAGATGGTCGCATAGAAATCTGCTCCGGCGACTGGGCATCTAATCTGATGTAATCTCATCATCCAAAGCTGCATCCAGCAACCTACCACCGCGATGTCACAACACAGGACCAAGAAGAGCTCTGTGAAGACTGAAAAACTGAATTTTTTCAGCCAGAAATCAGCTCCTGTAACTCCGGCGGACCAGGCCTCAACCGACAACGAGGACCCCGAACCGAATTACAACATGCAAAGCTCGCAAGCTGAGGTATTGTTAAACAACCAACAGCTCACCAAAGCTGATCTCTCAGCAGCCTTGGAGACACTATCGAACAAACTAATAACAACTTGGCAACACACAGCCGACTCATTAAGGAAAGACATACAAGAGTTGGGGAAACGAACATCCAATATGGAGGACAAATGTGATGAAATCGCTACGGCACACAATGACCTCGCAACCACTGTGGAACAGCTATCTGCTCAGCTAACCACTATGGAAGAAAAACTAACGGACATGGAAGACCGTTCGCGCAGGAACAACATCCGCTTGAGGGGGGTTCCGGAAGAAATCAGCAACGCAGACTTACCGGCATATGTTCGGGGGCTGTTAAAGGCGCATGCACCAGAGATCCCAACGGAAATGCTGCTGGTGGACAGAGTGCACCGCATCCCCAAGCCGCGACACCTGCCTCCGGCGACCCCAAGAGACATACTAATGAGGGCTCACTACTTCCATATAAAGGAGCACATTCTCAGAAACAGCAAAACACGCGCCAAACCACCGGACGAATACGCCACGGTCCGAATCTATGCAGACCTCTCGGCAGCCACGCTCCGGAGACGAAAAGAATTTTCCCAAATTACAGGTGCCCTGAGAGCGCACAATATCCGCTACAAATGGGGCTTCCCCACAAAACTTCTTATTACAAAAGACGGAACGACAACAGTAATCCTAACCCCGGAGGACGGAACGAAGAGGCTGAGAACCTGGAATGTACCACTAACACCTGACCCCCAGGATAAGCCAACGATCAGCGAACCGCTTCGGCCCGAATGGACAAAAGTCCCGAAGAAACATTAAACACCAGACGACAACTGGTTTACCGGCAAGACTAACGCAAGAATCCAAAGCAGCTGGCCTCAATGGTGACCAGACCACATCGGAACAGCCCGACCCCTGAACGCCCATGACGCAAAGACCTTTGGCGGCGACGCAGAGGGCCCCATCACCAAGTAAGCAACTGGATTCGGGGCTCCCGCCATCCCTGTGACGAAGCACAGCAGAGCAGTGGAACCTTGCGGGGGACCCGGATCTGGAACCGTAGATTGGGACTTTTACCGATACCGGTAAGACTGCCTACATACTAACCATCACACATACTCGGGTGCACAGCCCATGCAAAAACTTTTTTTTTGGCTATCCGGGACTCAATGACTCAGCCCTCCTACTAGACAATGTTATAAAGCAAATCTAGCAGCCATTTATTGAACAGAACGGGGGGACTGGGGCTCTCGGGGGGCGGGAGGCAACGACAAGGTGGGCTACCATAATGGAAGGCTCCCAGGGTAACAGGATCTCATGGGCCCAGTATGGGGGCCACATTCTCCCGTTGGGGGTTGCACACCAACAGAACAGCTAGCACAGCGAGAATTCATGGGCAGAGAAACCCGGGTGACCATATCATGCAGACCCTTACATGACAACACACCAAGAAAGTGTTAACTGTCCCAGTGGACGCACCCTAACGCCCATCAGAGACCTATAGCAGTTATTGCCCGCCCTAGCTACGAAATTATAACTAAGTCACACGAGATGGAGAAAAGCCAATTCCCATGGTATAGGGACTAGACCTAGCTGCTGCTGCCAAACCCCATGAGTAACTTGCAGCAAACTATAAGCAAAGCCCAAAGACCACGTAATGGAGGCACCAGGAAACTCCATCCCCCAAGGTGCGGAAAACTTGCACCCTGTCTCACATCGAGACATCATGTACATAGTTAACATCCCCATCCCCAGTTCTTACTCCTTCCAGTACCCCCTCTCCAGTTCGGTAAAACAAATAGGGACAACACAGGCTGACAGAAACCTTAACCAAGCAAGTATAAAAGGTAGCGCCGCAACACCGTATAATTACGTTATTTTAGCTACTGCCTGTGAAGGGCCCACCGAGACTGCACTTCTCACCACAATAACTTGGTACACATATTCATCTAGCAAACTATTTATAACTATACACAAATGGTGAAAGTGCAATCAATCAACTCACGCGGGCTAAACACTCCACATAAACGACGATTATTATTGGAAGAGGCCCAAAGACACAAAACCGATATATTATGTATACAAGAGACCCATTTTGTGCATAACAGAGTACCGACATTCGCAACTAGAGACTTCCCAGTGCAATACCACTCCACATACTCATCCAAATCTAGAGGGGTCTCGGTACTTATACACAAATCTATAACATTTGAACTCTTACAATTGAAAAAAGATACACAAGGTAGGTTTGTCATACTACACTGTAAAATAAATGATACACAATACATCCTAGTTAGTGTCTACGGCCCAAATGACAACCAAAGAAATTTCTTGCATAGGATATTGACAAAACTGCCAACCACGATCCATGTCCCTACAATAATCTGTGGAGATATTAACCACATACTACAGCCCACATTAGACTCTACCTTGCCAGTTACATCCCCCAGATACAAAACCTTAAGTAAACAAACAACCTCACTGACACGTCTAATCTCAGAATATGGACTCTATGACGTATGGCGAACACAGCACCCGGATAGCCGGGAATTTACGTTTTACTCCTCAGTCCATAACACTTACTCAAGAATCGACTACATTCTAGTGTCAGGAGACCTACTACCACATGCCACCAGCAGCACCATCGGCGAGATAACATGGTCAGACCATGCAGGGATATGGTTAACACTCAAGGATAATTTTGCATTCCGGGGGGCAACTCCCTGGCGCCTAAATGACACACTTCTAAATAACCCAGAATATAACCAGACACTAGACACGGAACTAATGTCATATTTCACCCACAACACAGCACAAGAAATAACGCCAGCAACCTTATGGCTTGCACATAAGGCAGTAATCCGGGGGCATCTTATAAGTAGAGCATCCCACCTTAAACACAATTCAAACCGAGAATACCTGACTCTACTCAGATCCCTTAGGGATGAAACATCAGCCCAAATTTCACAACCCTCCACTGAACGACAGCAGCGGATACAGCAAATACAAAAACAGATCAACAACATACACATGTTGAAAACAGTTCATATCGCAAATAAACTAAAACTCACTACTTACACACAAGCTAATAAGGCTGGGAAAGCGCTGGCGTCGATACTCAGGCAAAAGCATCTGAACGCCAAAATTCCCTTCCTCTTCAACGAGAAAGGAAACAAAATTTTTAACCCGCAAGACATAAACAACATGATGGCCGATTATTATGATACATTATATAATTTAAAGACAGACGGTGACACCCACCAACCTCTCCCATCTAATATAGATGAATTTCTATCGGGAATGAGACTGCCTAGGCTGACCTCAGACAACATTACCACTTTAGAAACACCCGTCACACTTATCGAAATACAACAAACGATAAAGACACTCCCTAAAGGGAAATCTCCAGGACCAGATGGGTTTACAAACCTATATTATAAGACCTTCTCACATACGCTAGCACCCCACCTAGAGAAACTATATAATCATATTTTAAGCACCGGAACCATACCCCAAGAAATGCTGATAGCCCATATATCCACCTTACCCAAACCCGGCAAACCTCCCCACAAATGCCAAAACTTACGCCCAATTTCACTATTAAATACAGATCTAAAAATACTAGCCAAGATCTATGCCACCAGATTGGGGAACATTCTACCATCCTTAATAAAGGACGACCAGGTGGGTTTTGTCAAAGGAAGACAAGGTTCTGACGGGACCAGGAAATTAATAAACTTTATCCATAATATTCAACAGACAAAGGAACCCAGTGTGGCCTTGTCACTGGATGCGGAAAAGGCATTTGACAGGCTGCACTGGGGGTACCTAGAGGCGGTTCTTCAAAAATACAACTTCCCAAACCGCTTCTTGAAGCTAGTTTCTGCCCTGTATGACAAACCAACGGCGAAAGTAATCAATGGAGGCTTTGTCTCCAAACAATTTCAAATCTCAAACGGCTCTAGGCAAGGCTGCCCGCTGTCCCCCCTTCTATATATCCTAGCTTTAGAACCACTAGCACACACTATCAGGGAAAACTGCAACATATCGGGGGTCACTGTGGGCAGCAGGACGCATAAAATCACATTATTTGCCGATGATGTGATGCTTACCTTAACCAAACCCGAAACATCCCTACCGGCACTACAAGCTGTAATCCAAGAATTCGGCAATTGCTCATATTATAAACTCAACGTTGCCAAAACCCAGGCCATGAGCTTCAACATCAGAAACCCAAGACTCTTAAACCTGCGAGCTACCTTTACATATGACTGGAGAAAGGACCACCTCACCTTCTTAGGAATAGCTTTAACACAGCATATACACAAACTATACCATGCAAATTATGTGAAACTCCTTCGGGAAATACATACTCAACTGCAAAATTGGAGAGGAAAATATGTGTCGTGGATGGGTAGAATAGCGGCGGCAAAAATGATGGTACTGCCCCGTTTACAATACCTCTTCAGGACACTACAAATTGATCTCCCAAGGCAATTCCTCACTAAGACCCAACAAGCCATAAATACGTTTATATGGGGGGGGAGAAAAGCCAGAATCGCAGCAGACGCCCTATATAAACCTTTCAAAAAGGGAGGAATGGGGGTGCCGGACGTTTCGCGATACTATCGAGCGGCCATAGTAAGCACACTAGTACAAATGCACCACCACAAAAAATCACTAGCGTGGAATCAAATAGAAACGACGCATACTGAGGGGCTACCACTACATACACTAGCCTGGATGCCAGCTGACAAAAGACCACACCACAAAACAATATGCCCAACAACAGCAACGACACTGAAAGTGTGGGATAAATTAGTTAAGAAACAACAGCCTCGAATGAGGATCTCCACAGCCTTCCAACTTCAGGCACTAACTATCCTGATTCCAGGATTCGAATATAAAATATGGCACTCTCATGGGGTATTTTGCTTGTCGCAGGTTCTAGACAACGGACATATGATAGACTACGACACACTACACAACAAGTATAGTCTCACACCTGCCACCTTCTTCTCATACCTACAACTGAAATCGTGGGTACACAAACACTATGATAATACACAAGCCCAAGGACACTTGCTCACAGAGATAGAACGGCTATGCTTAGCAACAAAACCCCCACAAAGGCTACTATCAACCTTGTACAGTCTGATCGGACCAAATGACTATTTAGAACAACTCAAATGTATTAAGGCATGGGAAAGGGAACTTGGACAAACACTGACACCAGAAGATTGGTCTAACACATTAAAGGCCCACAAAACGCTGACACTAAACACGGCACATATTGAAATCAGTAGGAAAATACTATATCGTTGGTACATGGTGCCAACTAAACTCCACAAAATAGATCACACAAAGAGAGACACCTGCTGGAGATGTGGTGAAGCGCCAGGCAGTATGGTACATATATGGTGGGCATGCCCGAAACTCATTCCCTTCTGGTCCGAAATATCGGACATACTAAAAAACATCACAGGAGTAAAACTGCCACACACTCCTCTCTCCTTTCTGCTATTAATATGGCCTGTAACACTGCAAAAGCCAGACGTATATATTGCATACCACATTATTATTGCAGCCTTGACTGCCATTAGTAGAAACTGGCTAAAACCCACACCTCCTAGTGTGCGACAATGCATAGAAATGGTAGAAGTAACAAAATCATTTGAGAAGGCAGCAAGAGGTACACACACACCCAGAGGATTCTGGAAATTAGCGTGGAACAAATGGGAAATATGGAACCAGCAAAACTGACACTCTCATAACCCCTAAAATTGAATAAGACGCAAATGGGGAAAAACAAAACCCTCCCTACTACTATGATATACTACTACTATGACATATTACTGTGATCCACCAATGGGACATACCATCGTGACATATTAGCAAGACATACTTATGCCCCTGAGCAGAAAGGTATCCCTATGAACTAAACCGAACCAAACCGAACTCGTCCCTTCCCCCCTTCCCCCCTACCCTACTCTTCCAGGTTTATTACCCCTGTTGTTCGTCACCCCCCCCTATGTTAAAGCGAACTTACCACAAACGTGCACGGAGGTCACCTATCAAAAAACAATAGCCACTGGGCCCAATGAGGCACCTATGACGCTCCTATTAGACCATGTTGATAAGACGAATTATAGATGTAAGAAACTATAATATGTAACTGCTGATATCTAATTGTGAAGTGTGACCTTGGAGAGCTTTGTAATAAAACTTCCCCACTCCCCTTTTCTCTTCTGTATCCCCACTGCATCTATGCTTCTGAATGACAAAACAATAAAAATATTAAACACAAAAAAAAAAATAAAAAAAAAAAAAATTCTTAAATATAAAATCTGTAATCAAATTTAAAAGTCCAAACTTCTTGATCCACTTTATGCGTTTCGCCCAAATAAGGGCTTCTTCAGAAGTGTAGATAATGGGAAGTGTCAGTTAAAATCCTTATATAGGGTGTTAATTAATTCCATTATTCCGGTGTGTGCATATATGTAAATGATGAAAAGGCAATTCGTCTATTCAGTGTAATTTCCATATTTTGAAGCAAAAAAAAAATATTGTAACATCTAGATGATTATTTAATATGTATGATTGGTGCTTGATTTCTGATCTGCTAATTTTCTAGTTTTACTTTCTTTGTACCGTGCATAGGCGTGCGCACCGGCACACCCTAATCAAGCCTCAAAATTGAGTCTCTGTGCTGCATTGCTAGGGATTAGGATTTTTCACATTACCTGCTGTCTCCCTGCAGTCAGCCAGAACAGAACAGCCAGGGAAGTCGGCCGGCCCCTCCTGATGATGTCAAGAGGAGGGGGTGTGACTTCCACTGCTCTTCTCCCAGACTCCCCAGCAATCCATGTAAGGTACACGCTGTGCACGCCTGTGGTACCATGTACATTATATGGGGGTAAATAAGACATCTCAGAATACCATACACCCATGTCTTGATAAAGTCTTTTGATGAGAGGAAACGCATAGACTATGGATGTACAGACTGTGCTTACACATGTTTGTGGGCTTTTCCCTTTAATATGATATTACTATTTTGGAAATTGATGTGTTATATAAATATGGATACTTTTGACACAATGTATTGTCAGTTGAGACATTCTCATAAGGTTATAAATGTGCAATGATTTTGAGTTATTGGGACACTATAGACACCCAAACCACTTTATCTCAATTCAGTTTTTCTGAAACTGCAATGTTAACTTGCAGTGCTAAGGAGGACTTGGACACTGCACCTAGGCCACTTCAAAAAGATGAAGTGGTCTGGGTGCCTATAGTGTCCCTTTAAGTTTAGTTATTTGGTTATGTGCATTGTTTGTTTTTCTTGAATGCTGTTGTGTGGGATCAGCATTGTTACTATGGAATAGTTCTATTCTGTTAGTAGTCATGTTTTTTTTTCATTAATTTTGCCAATTGCTGACTGCTTGCATGAGCATTGGAACACCACTTTATAAGGGTGTGATTACTTTTTTTTTGTCTATGACAGCGCGAGTCTCCATATAATATGCGTCAGTTGGTGGTGGATACTTGGATTTTTGTCTTTTTGTTGGAAAATATTTTTATACTGGAATAAATTATTAATTTCTACTTCAGACCTTTCTACTTCAGTTGATTATTTACTTTTAATACTGTGGAGGTGGCATACAAGTGTTTTTAAGTACACTACAGAACAAGCTCTCCGGTTACAGCAATTATGAGCTCAGCGGTCTCACTAAACCGTGCGTTTTCCTATACAGTTATATTGCTAGCAGTTGATTTCCATAATGGACCAACTGCAATTTTTCTACTATTTCCATAATGGACCAACTCAACGGTTTACGCAACCCTGTGGGATTGTTTTAGAAATACAATACAAATACTATTGGGGTTTTGGACTTGCAGATTTCATTAAATGGCCAGAAGGTAAAATTATGTTTGTACTCCAAACTCGCAGATCAGCATAAATGCTTTTAGTACTCATCCTCCTAAGCTGAAGAAGCTCTTACTTGTCTCACAGTTAAGGATAAAAAATAGCTTCTTCCAGCGTGGATACAGTATGCAGGCTCTCGACTGAGCACTGGGAATAGCCCAAATTGAATTTTCAGTGGACAAAAAAGAATCTAAGGTGCAAAGGACAGTATTTCCACAAACATGTAACATCACATCAGATAGCTAGAGACCATTGGTAAATGTGCAGTAAGGACAATAAATTACTGGAAATCTTTGCTCGCATGCCACTTATCAGCTATAAACAGGGGAGAAGCTTTAGAGATATTTGTCCCACGCCGACCAGTTCAACCCCCAGACCTCCATATCCTATTAAGTAAAATCCTAGTTGCTGTTTGGGGCGCACTGCTTGCAACATAATAAAGGGCTCGACAAATCCCAGGTCGCCATAGCGTCTAGAAATTTTGCCCTGGCAAAGACCACTTCATCTCTTTAAGATGGATTTGAAGCAACTCGGGGCGTGGCCAACTGCAGAGAGGAGAAGTCGCATGTAGTGATCGCTCCGTGCTCTACCAGGCCCAAAGCGACAAATGAGCTAACAAAAACCTGCTACAAGCTTGAATAATCAACGGGAATAGAGCCCGGCCGTACCATTGCACCCTCCAAGCAGACAAAACTTACCGATCCGGTACGCCAAAGCAAAAAAGATAAAGCAAGGTCGGCGCAAGATGGCGACGGCCATGCGGACCAACCGCCATCACCAGAACGACTCGCGGACCCAGACAGTGATCCGCAGATACCAGATGACGTGCCGGTCACTAGCAAGAGCCTTCACACAATGCTGCAGGCCTTGAAGACCTCGCTCCGTTCCGATCTCCGCCAACACACAAACAAGCTGAGAAAGGACATTGCCGACATAGGAGGCCGCACTAGACACATGCAAACGAAAACGGAAGAGATTTGTGCAGCACATAATGATTTGGTCGATAAACTGCAAAGCCTAGAAGAGGAACAAAAGTCCCTTAAACACAAATTGGCAGACATACAAGACCGGTCACGCCGCAACAATCTGAGATTCAGAGGCATCAATGACGCCGTCTCCACATAGGCGCTCCCACAATACCTCAAAGCCCTCTGCAAAATTCTGGCCCCGCAAGTGGAAGACGCCGCCTGGGAGTTAGACCGCATACACAGACTCCCAAGACCAGCCCGCTTTACAGCAGATACCCCCAAAGACACAATAGCCCGATTCCACCACTACACCGCCAAGGAGCAACTACTAAACGCGGCAAGAAAACTTACCAAGCTGCCAGAACCGTATCAGCACATTCAAATATTCGCAGACCTCTCCGCGGCAACAATGGCGAAGAGAAGAGAATTTGTGAACGTGACCAAGACCTTACGGAACAACAACATACCCTATCGGTGGGGGTACCCCACGAAACTGCTGGTCTGGTACCGGGACAGATCTGTACCAATTTTGGAACCGGAGGCGGGCATGGCAATTAAATTAAGAGTGGGGTCTACATCATGCTCAAGGGCAGACCATTCCGGCTCACAACTCCCCTTCGAAGATCATGCCAGAGTGGAGGATGGTGGGAGCTGCCACAGTCTCTCACACCCGGGACTAAAGTGAATACCTACCTGGAGACCGCCAGCACTCCCGGCATATAAGTATCTCTGACCGTTTTTGTATGCTATGTTATGCGTTAATGTGTTACCTAGATGGGTTAGTAAAGCTGGTTCAAACGCAGGTTCTCAGACGTGACAGGGGCACAGATACGGCACCTACAGACATGTGTAAGGAATAGCCGTTCACTCGCGAGCATACCTGCAGATCCACCCGGGACCGGTAAACAGTGTCCAAGTGGATAGCACCAACTTAGTTAATGTTAAACCCCCTTAACTGCAGGGTGCTAACTTCCATGCCACCATGTCATGAGCCACACTGGTCCACGGCAATACTGCAAAACCGCTTTGCACAGAACTCCGGTTCCCAAAAGTAACACAACCTAACCACATTAACCCTACTTGTTAACTTGTAAATGTTATATGTTACTGTTTCATGTTTATGCCTGCCGGGATGCTGAACGACTCATTAGGGGCTAAATATCAGCTAGGACGAGGATGGGGGGGATGTCACCACCCCATACCAGCTGTCACTCACAGGGGACACTTCACAGAGCCCGACCTTCCCGCTAAGTCAGAGACCCTGGTCGCGACCTAGATACCCACAGGGAATCCCGCAAGTAGGCCCAGTGGGCCCACGCCTAAGTTATAGGTCGAGATCACGGCCCGAAACCCCCTCCTTCCACAAGAGAAAGCGGGCAGGGTGACTGGCCTCCCCTTATCCTTAAAGGACCACTCTAGGCACCCAGACCACTTCAGCTTAATGAAGTGGTCTGAGTGCCAGGTCCTTCTAGGGTTAACCCATTTTTTCATAATTATAGCAGTTTCAGAGAAACTGCTATAATTATGAATGGGTTAAGCCTTCCCCCTAATCCTCTAGTGGCTGTCTCATTGACAGTCACTAGAGGCGCTTGCGTGCTTCTCACTCTGAAAATCACAGTGAGAGCACGCCAGCGTCCATAGGAAAGCATTGTAAATGCTTTCCTATGAGACCGGCTGAATGCGCGCGCAGCTCTTGCCGCGCGTGCGCATTCAGCCGGCGGGGCGTAACGGAGGTGGAGAGGAGGAGGAGAGCCCAGCGCTAGAAAAAGGTAAGGTTTTTTTTTTTACCCCTTTCCCCCTTCCAGAGCCGGGCGGGAGCGGGTCCCTGAGGGTGGGGGCACCCTCAGGGCACTATAGTGCCAGGAAAACGAGTATGTTTTCCTGGCACTATAGTGGTCCTTTAAGGCAGTGACTAACAAGCTCTATGGCGTTCTTTAAAAAAAAAAAAAAAAGAGGGCACGGATTAAATTATAAGAGTGTAACGGATCGCCTGGCACCCCGACTGGGTACCTCCGTTAAAGGATGCTCCTAGCGCTTCCTGAGGGCTCCAAGCACTGCAGCAGACACCACAACCACCGAACTGGAGAAGCATATGAATCCTCTCAAGCATATGAATGCTGTAGACAGTTGAATAGGAACCATACGACTAGGTTTACACTCCTAGCAGTCGAACTGGAACAGCATACAATAAATCCCCCCAAGAACGAGACAAGGCTCCGTGTTGAGGGTCAAGCAGTGAACAGTCAGAGCTGTGGGTTTATTGTGCTTATGTACACATTCTTACACATTAGTACCACCCACAGGGTTTTGGAACACAACCAATAAACACATACAATACACTCAGACACTCCCACACAAATTCCTCCCCTTTGCCTGTGATTCAATTACCTTACACAATGGGTAATGTAATTTAGCACAAGCACAGAAATACAATTTTTCCACATTATTCATAACTTGAAAAGTATGCATCACATTCACATAAAACTTACATTTTCAGAATCAGCATACTCCAAATACAAACATACGTCAAAATCATACAAATTGGTCAAGTGGTTCAAAAGATAGATCGTAGTCCTTTGTGACCACAGGAAGCATGGCTTTTCTGCCCAAAACCAGTTCCACAGAGTCTTCTATCCTGGAGATAATTAGAAGTAATTCAATTATCTCCATAGACAGAGGCAAAACTCCATTGAACACATGGCAGCAAAAAGACAGTAAAATACACAAGATTACATTTATGACATAAAATACAGACATGCAACATATGCCCAGATAGCTTAGGTCTGAGCGCACATTATTACTGAATGGCGCTCAGAGCACACACATACAGTTCAATTGCCATGGAGCCAAAGTCTTTCCCATAGTCTTTCATTATACGAATGGGCTCCATGGCATAGCTATCTGGGGTATCACTGCTCAAACAGGGCAAGCACCAAATGACCCAGCTTTCTTGTCTTTGCAGGGGAAAATCAAGCCTTTTAACATGGGGCCATAATCCAAAGGCAACAGGCGAGCAACCAGGCTTCTCCAACGCAATGTGGTGAGATTGCTCTCGTCACAAAAAGCACTTATCAGATTCCCTTACATTAGCAATTCCCGCAAGAATACCCCAGGGCCTTAAACTGGTGGAAGTTACTCCACGTCTCCCGTACCGAAGAAGAGTGAGGCCTTTCCACACACGGATTCGGAAGAAAACTCTGCCCGAAGCAGAGGTGATATGTTCTCTCCCCAAGCTTCTCTGTTCTTCCCTAGTTCACTCCTCTCCTGCTCCCCCCTTAGACACAATCCAAAACCGACACAAATACACAACCAGTATGGCGGACAAGTCCACCGTCCAAAAGCAAACATCGCTACCACCACTAAAAGAGCCAAAGTCCCATTTGCACTCATTAGAACTAAAGCCCACACTTCCAAATGACTCAACACACGTTTAAGATCTTCTCCTTGAATGTCAAAGGCCTGAATAGCCCACACAAACTCAGCTTAGCAATTAGAGACATGCACAAATCACAAGCAGCAGTGATATGCCTCCAAGAGACACACATGTGTGTCCACAACCCCCCTAAGATCCACACTAAGCGTTACCCCCAAGCCTTTCATGCATACTCCCCAAACAAATCTAAAGGGGTCTCAATTCTATTCCACGCGGACTGGGTATTCCAACCGAGCGCTACGCACGCAGACGCGGTGGGGCACCTCCAGATATTGGTGGGCACACTCAATGGCATCGATATAACCCTAGCATCTTTATATGCCCCTAACGACGGCCAGGCTTCCTTCCTACATAGAGAGCTTAAAAAAAATAGATTCAATGAAACGTGGCCACGTTATAATTTGCGGGGACTTTAACTGCAGCCTAGACATCAAACGTGTGAACAATAAGAAACCTACACCCTCCGCATACAACAATAGCAAGTCCCTGTCCGAAATAACGTTTGAACTAGACTTATATGACTCCTGGCGCAATACATACCCAACGGGCAGAGATTACACGTACTTTTCACCAATCCACTCAACTTACTCACGCATCGACCTAATACTGGTCGACAAACTAACCTTATCAAATATAGCTGAAGTGGACATAGGACTAAGGACATGGTCAGACCATGCCCCGATAATCGTCACCCTCAATAGCATATACCCAGTCCGCGGGAGAGGAAAATGGAGACTTAATGAAAGTCTTCTAGACGACCCCACGGCGCTACAAACTATCCTCGAGACCGCAACCAATTACTTTAGGGAAAATACGACCGAGGAAGTCTCCTTACAATCCCAATGGGCAGCACATAAAACCGTGGTCAGGGGGGCACTGATACAAATTGGGTCCCGCAAAAAAAGGAAGCATAACGAAGACACAGAAGCCGAAAAGGTGAATAAACAAAACCCTTCCCCTAAACTATCCAAAACCATTGCCCGATTACAGAGGAGCCTTAACGCCCTCTCATTACAGTTAGTAGAGAGGAGAATGAGAACTCTTAGGTTGACATATTACACACAAGGCAACAAAGCAGGTAAACTACTGGCCAATAAACTGAAAACACAGCGCCTTCAGTCGAAAATCCCATACATTGAATCTCCGCACACTACCAAATTATATAACCCCAATGATATAGTGAACACGCTAGCTTCATACTACTCCAATCTATACAACTTGAGAGACGACCCCACGGTGCCCCAACCGACACATATTTCCATAGAAGAGTTCCTTCTCAACACCGAGCTCCCACAACTGACACAAGCACAAAGAGAGGCACTAGACAAACCATTCTCAGAAGAAGAGGTCTCAACAGCTATAGCGTCCCTCCCGAAACATAAAGCCCCAGGACCAGACGGGTTCTCCAACTATTACTACATTAAGCTAATAAAGACCCTGACACCTTTCCTCACCATACTATTCAACGACATTAAATCGAAAGGGACCATGCCAAAAGAAATGCTCGAAGTTTGTCACGCTCCCCAAACCGGGCAAAGCGCCCACCAAATGTGAGAATCTAAGGCCAATCTCACTCCTCAATGCGGATGTCAAGCTCTACGCTAAGCTCCTCGCATCCCGCGTGAAACCTCTCCTCACAGACTTGGTGTTGCTAGAGCAAGCAGGGTTCGTCCACGGGCGGCAAGCAGGGGATAACACAAGACATTGCATGAACTTGATTAGTTGGTCGGAGAATAGCAAACAGAAGGGGGTGGTCCTGGGGCTCGACGCCGAAAAGGCGTTCAACTGGTTAAATAGGAAATTTCTAAAAGCCACCCTACAAAAATGGGTTTCCCACGGCCATTCTTGGGGGGTATCATGGCATTGTATGGTGCACCATCTGCCAGGGTCTTTAATACAGGTTTTTTTTATCAAAACCATTCACAATCAGCAACGGAACGAGACAGGGGTGCCCTTTGTCACCCCTGCTCTTTATCCTTTGTCTGGAGCCGCTCATCCACCGCATTAAACACCACACAGGGATCTCGGAACTCACCACACCAGCGGGAATTCAAAAACTAACCCTATTCGCGGACGATGTCCTACTCTTCCTCACACACCCAGACAAATCCATCCCGGCTCTGATGACCCTGCTGAACCAATATGGTTGCACATCATATTATAAGAACAACACTAACAAAACCCAGGTGCTGCCTTTCGGTCTGTCCACCGCAACGGTGAGCAGGCTACAGTCCGAATTCCCCTTCGACTGGAAGTCCACATCCCTAAAATATCTGGGGGTCAATTTAACCATCTCTCCCTCCAGACTCACGCGCGAAAACCACCTACCTCTAACACATAAACTGCAAACACTACTGGACAAATGGCAACCACTTGAAATTTCTTGGCTGGGGAGAGTGCAGACGATCAAGATGATGGCGCTGCCACATGTACTTTACCTATTCCGCACCCTTCCCATAGCATTACCGGACTCACTCCTCAATAAATTCCAATCCATTTTCAATTCCTACATTTGAAAAAAAACAAAAAACCCAGAATCACCCGCAGACTTACGTGGCTCTCTCCAAACAAAGGGGGTCTAGGGGCCCCTGATATAAAAGCTTACTACAAGGCATCAGCGCTGGCTCAGGGACTAGAGGCCCTAACCCGCCCCAAACCGCCAGTGTGGTTGCCTCTGGAGAACGCGTGTCTACACCCAGCCACAATAACCCATAAATTGTGGTCCGCCAATGAATCCACAAAGTCCCTCTCGTCGGGTCTGCCCACCACCAACTTTTTGTTGGCCAGTTGGAGGAGATGGGCAGGGGACCTCATGGGACAGGCTCATCCTCTCTTCTTTGCCCCTCTCCTCCGACTACAGGACCTAATCAGCGACCTCCCGCTGAGACCGTGGATTACGAAAGGGATCACTTCTGTGGAAGGCATCAAACAGTTCCCTGAGCTACAAGCCGAATTCGCTTTGCCCCCTAGGGAGATTTTCACTTATCTGCACATCAAATACACCCTGTCATCGTTAAACATACACCACTGCGAAGCAGAACAACTGACTGCATTTGGGCGTCGGTGCATCACCACCCAACACACGTGCAAACCTCTCTCCTTGAGCTATTCAGCAATTAATGATGTGGACAGGATCATTAAACACCCCTACATGCTAAAATGGGAGCGCGACTTGGAAGTTGCATTCCCCCTTCCTATGTGGTTACAGGCACTCCAAGTCACACAAGCTTCTTCACATAACATGTCCCACTGGGAGAGCTTCTGTAAACGTTGATGCGATGGTACCTAGTCCCCGCTTGTCTAGCCCAGATATACCCAACAGCTTCGCAGGCATGCTGGCGGTGCGGAGACGGGGTGGGCACATTGCTACATATTTTCTGGGGCTGCCCCAAATTGACACAATTTTGGCAACAGGTCAGAAATTTGATCAGGGAGGTTACAGAGGTCGCCATACCTCTACACCCAGAATGCTATCTCCTACATATCCACGTTGGAATACTGTCTTCCCCACATAAAGTGGTCATTTGCCACCTCCTTTTATCTGCCAAGACCAGCATAGCGAGTAGATGGAAAAGCCTAGATCCTCCTACTACTCAGGAGGTGAGAAACAGGGTTCACTCGACATACGAGCACGAACGATTAGCATTCAGGTTGAAGGACCGAGAAGATAAACACGCACGACTCTGGCTTGGTTGGAGCGCAGCACATCCCCGTGGGTAATGGGATATGGGGTGAAAGACAGGTCACCTAGGTGGACGGGCCCAAGCCGAGTGGTCAGCATGCAATGCTCTAACATATCTAGAAGGACGACCCATAGGCGCCCAACAACTCCCTACAGACCAATATCCACCGAGACAGAACAGGGCCCCTCGACGCTCTTGCTGACGGGCTCACCTCACCCCACCCCACCCCTCTAGCAACTTAGGTCTAAAAGAGTGTTCTTACCCGTGGTCCACTAGACTACAGTTGCTTCCGTACATGAAAGACAGTGTGTATTGCCAGCCATGCTCTTTGTATGAAAAAGTGCTAATGATTGTGTCGATACAATGTTCCCCTTTCCCTTTTTTTTTCCCTTTCTGTATCCCTCTATTATGTCTGTCAGTTAATTGGTATACAACGAAAAAACTAATAAACATAAGACATTGAAGAAAAAAAAGACGGATTTGAAGAAAAATAAAAATCCCAACTTTTGTGTGTGTGTGTGTATGTTTCTGTCTGTCAGTGTGTGTGTGTGTGTCTGTCAGTGCGTGTGTGTCTGTCTGTCAGATGGTGTGTGTCAGAGGGTGTATGTGTCTGTCAGAGGGTGTGTGAGTTTTGTGTCTGTTTAGACACCTTTTTTCCCATGCTGTGTCTGTTTTGCCGTGGCTGGTCAGTCATAATGATCTCATGTAAGGGAGAATATTGCGCATGTGCACCAAAACAATGTACCAGTTATCTCCTCATAGAGATGCAGTGAATCAATGCGTCTCTATGGGGAGCATTCATCTGCCTTTGAAAAGGCATTGTTTACATTGAAAGTTCTGCAGGTATAGGTTATAGACACCAGAACTAACTACATTAGGCTGTAATGGTTCTGGTGTCTATATTGTACCTTATGAATTGCATTTTTCTTATTGAAAATTAAACTTCAATGTTGTTTTAAAAAAACTGGCTCCTAACTTTTTTAGCTGGCTCCTAGATTCTAAACAAATTTGTCAAGCCCTGACATAATATACCTGTCATGACCATCACCATTTTAGCAAACCTTACCAAATATACACTGGATGAAAAAAATTGGTGATTACCAGATGCTGTGCCCATGTGGTCTGACCTATATTGATAAGACCAATAATAATTTATAGGAACAAATATGTGTCCATCAATCATCTATATATAATTAAGTGAATGACTTTATCAACACATTGGTGACAAAACATGTTCATGAGTTTGGCCATACCTAGTCATTTTATGTATTAATCATGCCTCCAAATAATTTTTAAATTTACACCATAGGTACTCTTTGTCTGAGTGGTCTTAAAAGAAAAAAGAAATGTTTGCATTGTTTCCTTAATGAATGATAAATATTGTTTTGTTTTCTTTTAATATATATGAATATGGACATTCTGATTACATGGTAGTTAACATTAGCCAGGGTTTGATTTTTCTGCTTTATAAAATGAATAAAATAATTGCCTTAAAGAAATGCTTTATAATAAATGCTTTTACCATTACATCTAGTGCTATGATCTACTTGAGTAGTCTGGAGATGCAGCTAATTTGTCTCTACATTGTTTCCTCACATGTATTCTTGCAGTATATTTTTGGAACTTAAAGCTTTATATCTGTACACTTATATTTTAATACACTTTTGCTTTCAGATGCTACAATGTGTGTGTATGTATGTGTATGCATGTGTACAGTGGCGTACACACTACCCATGGGGCCACAGTGCAAAACTGATCCATGGGGGCCTCTTCCTCTCACCCTATTTCCCCCTTCTTCCCCCCCCCCCGACAGACAGACACACAGACAGACAGACAGACAGACAGACACACACATACAGACAGACATACACACATGCATACAGTCACAGACAGACAGGCACACATACATATAGACAGACAGACACACACACGACACACATACATACAAAGACACATAATACATACATACAAACAGATAGACAGACAGGCACACATACATACAAACAAACACACATATATACAAAATGTTTAAGTCAACCTCTTGTTTCCTACCTTTTAGGTGCAGGAGGGTGACTTTCCCTGGGGTCCAGTGGTGGCTCAGGTTGATATGAGTCAGAGTTCCCATCCTGACTCCCTCCTATGCTTCCTCCCACGCGGCCTCTGTGTATGCTGGCAGGGCCGGCCTTAGGCAATTAGGCGCCCTGTGCAAAAAGTCTTCACGGCGCCCCCCCCACCTCCCACCAAGTTGCCTGAATACAGTAACACACACAGGCACCGGGGACGTGTGTATCACGAGGCAAACAAGGCATCTGCCTTGGGCGCCACTTTGCAGGAGGCGGCAAAAAAAAGCATCCCTCCAAACCCCCAGGCAGATCCCTTGCTTGCCTCGCATCCTGGGGGGCTCAAGAGCTGACCGGCTGGCCACTTTTGAGCCCCCCCAAGGCTGGCAGCGGGCAGCGAAGGAGCATACTCACCTGGGCTCTTCCTGCTCAGCTTCCTCTGCGCCGCTTAATGAAGCCGGGAGCCAGAATATGACGTCAGTCCGGCTCCCGGCATCACTAAGCGCTGCTTACTCAGCCTGTGCGCCCCCTGCCTGCCTGCCCAGCAGCCACACTGGACTGCTGGTAAGAAATCCACTCCAGCTTTCCCAGGGAGGCTGGGTGGATTTAAAATAAATGTAAAAATATTAGTTTGTGAGTGTTAGTGGAAATGTCTGTGTGTGTGTCTGTGAGTGTTTATTTTGAAGTGAATGTGTGTGTGTGTGTGTGTCTGTAAGTGTGTAATTGTGTGTGTCTGTAAGTGAATGTGTGTGTGTCTGTGAGTGAATGTGTGTGTTGGTCAGTGAGTGTATATGTGTCAGTCGGTGAGTGTGTATGTGTCAGTCAGTGAGTGTGTATGTGTCGTCAGTGAGTGTGTATGTGTCGTCAGTGAGTGTGTGTCGGTCAGTGAGTGTGTAGGTCAGTGAGTGTGTATGTGTCGTCAGTGAGTGTGTGTCGGTCAGTGAGTGTGTGTCAGTCAGTGTGTATGTGTCGGTCAGTGGAGTCGTGCATCTTTCAGTGAGTGCTTGCGTCTGTCAGTGAGAGTGTGCATCTGTCAGTGTGTGTCCAAGTAATAGTGTATGTGTGTATGTCATTGTTTGTCAGTGTGTATGAGAGTGTGTGTCTGTCAGTGAGTGTGCGTCTGTCAGTGAGTGAGCGTCTGTCAGTCAAAGTGCGGCCTTGACAGGAAGGGGTGGGGGAAATTTAAACTCGGTTACAGGCATGTACACACACTCAGTTAAAGGCAGTCACACATACAGGCACAGGCACAAACAATGGCACAGCGACACACACAGACAGACAGTCACATAGGCAGTCACACACACAGACAGACACACAGTAACACACACATAGACAGTTATACACACACAGGCAGGCAGTCACACAGATAGAAAGTCACACACACAGACAGATAGTTACAGACAGACACACACAGGCAGGCAGTCACACACACAGGCAGTCACACACACAGACAGTCACACACAGACAGTCACACACAGGCAGGCAGTCACACACACACAGAGACAGTCACACACACACACAGAGACAGACAGTCACACACACACACACACACAAGGACAGGCAGTCACACAGACAGTCACACGCACACAGGCAGGCAGTCACACAGACAGACAGTCACACACACACACAGACAGACAGTCACACAAACAGGCAAACAGTCACACACACACACTTACCTCTTTCCGGTGGATGCAGTTGGCTGATGGGGAAGCATCTTTCCCTCTTCCTGTACAGCAGGGGCTTCGGGAGGTATTAGCCCCGTCTCCGCCTCTCGATAAGCCCCGCCTCCGCCGCTCGGTAAACCCCGCCCCCTCTGCCGCGATTTTTTTTAATAGACCGGGTGGAGAATAATTAATCCTCCAGCCAGGTACCTCTTTTAGCTCCCCTGCACTCCGGCCATGAGTGAGCTGTGTCGGCCACAGGGCGCCCCCTGTTCCATGGCGCCCTGTGCGGTCGCACAGCTCGCACACCCCTAAGGCCGGCCCTGTATGCTGGGAGGAGTGACTGGGGCAGTCACTTCCTCCCAGCGTGTGATCTCATCACAGGGGGCCTGGTCGCACTGTTAAGGCATCGCTGCGTTGACCGGGCCCCTTGAAAATCCATCTCCGTCGGGTGGCCCTAACAGCATGGGCCACCCAATGGACCCCTTGAACGGCGGCCCTGGCAAAACATGGTGGATTGTATCTGGTCGCAGGGGTCCGCAGAGCCTGGAGTGACTGGCCCGGTCGCAGCTGCAACTCCTGCAACCCCTATATGTACCCCACTGCATGTGTGTGTATATATAATTAGATATATATTTGTTGTTGTTTAATTGCCTTCGGGAAGGTTCTTTTCATTTGCTTTCACGTATCCTAGTGGTGCCGTTTATTCCGTTGGCATTTTAACCCATGTCACTCATTCATATCTGATGTTTGATCACCAGGGTATACCTGGATATTGCATGTGTTCTAATACATCACTTACTTTATCATATTATCACAGCTACTTTCACACATTATTCTGAACCTCGTTTTGGTTCTTTCCTATCTATTTAAATGTAGCTTGGTTATTGGCACAGTTATCTTGGGGAAAAAAGTCCCTGAATTGGGCGGAAACATTGATGCTCTGCGTGTTTACCTGCTGTTACATGATGATTTTTGATTGCCACATTCTTAGGACTCACAACTTATTCTACCAATGTCAGTGCAAGTATGTCAGTATTGTCAAAACCCTACTATTTATGTAAAAACATATGTACGTGATTGAAAGTGATAGGCTTGAGTGTTTTCTAAATCAGTAAATATGGCATCCGGAATTACGCCAAATACGCAACGAGTATCAGAGTCAGAATCAGAGTTGGGCAAAACGAGTTCTATGTAGTTTATTTGTTGAAAATTTACAACCATTTTATATAAAACTTAATGACATAACTTTTCCTTTACAGATAGTGAACTCCCTTACCATGGCATCTGGTGGCAGGGATGAGCCAGATGAAAGAGCTAATCGTGTTGAAGGTAAATCATCTTGGACATGACATGAACGTTAGAATCTATTTTCCTAGCACACACTTGAATGCAAAATTTAATCATAGGATTATTAAATAAGTTGAACTAGGAGAACCATATTTTTAATTAGTCCATAACACGTATTATGTTAGCTGATAAGCTCCCTTAAACTTTTAACATTACAATGTGTATTGTGCAGCTCCAGATTCCACACATTGGGCCTATGATTATTGGTATACCTTGTTAACTTCTGTATGATGTCATATATATATATATATATATATATATATATATATATTCAAAATATTCAAAATATCCCCTGCACTCACGCTTACAATAAGGTCCAAAACCGGGCGCTCCACCAGAGCTCCAAGGCATGTAGTAGACAATCAACAAGGAAGGCTGCTCTCCGGATTTAAAATAAAAAAATGTATTCAAACATATTTAAAAACCTACGACCAACGTTTCGGTCCCCGCTCGGGACCTTCCTCAGGGTCACTGTTCTGTCGTTCTGTTTTTTGACCCTGAGGAAGGTCCCGAGCGGGGACCGAAACGTTGGTCGTAGGTTTTTAAATATGTTTGAATAAATTTTTTTATTTTAAATCCGGAGAGCAGCCTTCCTTGTTGATTATTGTTATATATATATATATATATATATATACACTCCCACATATGGTGTACATTACTGTACAAATATATAAATAAATTTTTACTATCCATGACCAGTAATTTACCAGTTTTCCATTAGTAACCAAACACTGAACTATTGGTCTGAATTGTTACATTCATTGTGTTTAGTGTGTACCACACTTATAAATAATAATGCGTCACTATTTGGTCAAGTCCTTGTACTCTATAGTAGTAACACTTTGAACATGTACAAACAGACCTCTAATTCTCAAATCATTGTGTATTGGTTAAGCAGTGCCCCTGTATACAAGAAGGATATCCTTGATGAGAAGTTACTCAACATTAGAGGAAGGGTCCATTTCCAATGCATACCCAGGATCCAAAAATGGTGAACAGCCTTGCATTTTACCCAGAGACAAATAGCTGTCAATTGACAGGTAATAGAAAAAAATAAATGCAACTAAACCTTTAAAACAATGAGGAGAGAGGAAATAAGCAAGTTATAATTCACACATTAAATTAATACTAATTTTTATATTCTACTTTATATTATGTTGACTTCTACTTGGCTTTGGCTGATCTGTGTCATCTTTTTTACCTTATGCCATTATGCCCTCTTAACTACGCTTTTCTTCAAAAATTTACACCAACATCATCAACACGTGGTTTAATGCACTCTGGTTTGGTTTGGTTTGGTTTTGATTTGCTTTTTTTTTTCTCACAGAGGAGGAGCTGAGGAATGAAACAGAAATAGTTTTCATGAGTTATTCATTTCATTTGTCTGGAATTGAAAGTAATGAAAATGAAGATACTGTCCCCATACAAAGAGAAACCATGGAGGCCACACAACTAAACAGGTAACAAGTGATAATCACGTAAGGGACAATTAAAAGATACCAGCCATGCATGAGCACTTGAATTAAATATAATATATAACTGTTTTTATATAACAACATGAGGTGTGCTGTAAAAGTGTAAAAAAATAAATAAAGTTGTGCTCAAAAGTTTGCATATCCCAGCACAAATTATGAAAGTTTGGCATTGATTTTGAAAATGTGACTGATCATGCAATAAATTAATTTTATTAAAGCTTAATGATCATATGAAGCCATTTATTATCACATTGTTTGGCTCCTTTTCAGGGCCGGCCTTAGGCCATTAGGAGCCCTGGGCGAAAAATCTTCACAGCACCATCCCCTTCCCCCCTTCATCATGTATAGAGTGTGTTTAGGGGTGTAGTGTTTCTATGGGGAATTACATTATTTCAAAACAAATATTAATTCCTCCTTCCCCTGGGAATCTGTCACACACACACAAATAATTATAGGCACAGTCACACACACGCAGACATTGTTACAGGCAGAGAGATACACATACACAGTTGCAGGCAGTCACACAAACATACCATTACAATTAGACAGTCACACACACATAGTTAGACAGTCTCACACACACCGTTACAGATATATACATACACACACACACACACACACACACACACAGTTACAGGCAGACATTGACACACACATACACAGTTACAGGCAGACCGTAACACACACACACCGTTACAGGCAGTCTCCACAATGTTACATCCAGTCACACACTTAAATACAGTTACACACACAGATACAGACTATCACACCCACTTACAGACACACACATTACTGGCAGTCTCACACACACACACTGCTACAAACAGTCACACACACACACACACTCACACATACAATTAGTTACAGGCAGTCATACACACATACACAGTTAGACAGTCACACACATACCGTTACAGTTAGACCATCACACACACATACACAGTTAGACAGTCTCACACACACACACACAGTTACAGGCAGACATTGACACACACACACACAGTTACAGGCAGTCACCCACAATGTTACATCCAGTCACACACACAAAGGCAGTGTGTGTGACTGTATGTGTGTTACAAACAGTCACACACACATACAGTTACATACAGTCTCACACACACACAGTTACAGGCAGTCACACACACATACAAACTTACATCTTGCCACTATGGGCTGGAATGAGGAGGAAACAGCAGTTCCCGGTACCTGATAGTTGATGAAGCAGGGGATGCTTCCCACTTCTTGTGCAGAGGTTAAGGGCAGCTTCTAGCCCAGCCCCTGCTGCCCTTATAGGGGCCTCTGTACAGCATTATGCTTTGCCCCACCGCTTGTGAAGCTCCGCCCTGCTGCCTTCTTATGTTTTTTTTTTTTTTTTCCCCCGGGTGTCCCAGGTAGAGAATAATAAAATTCTCCACCCAGGTGAGCAGACCTGCTCTATACATGCCCTCACTCCTGTCACCTGGGGCATGTGCGAGCTATGTCAGCAGCATGGTGCCCCCTGCAGGCATGGTGCCCTGTGCTGCCACACAGATCGCACACCCCTAAGGCCGGCCCTGCTCCTTTTTAAATCTTAATGATAACATAATGATAAAATAAATCACCCAAATGGCCCTGATAAGACGTTTATATAGCCTTGAAAGTTTGGCCTTGTTACAGACACACAAGGTGACACACACAGGTTAAAATGGCAATTAAAGGTTAATTCCTCATACCTGTGGCTTTTTGATTTGCAATTAGTGTCTGCATGTAAACCGTCAATGAGTTTGTTAGCTCTCACATGGATGCACTGAGCAGGCTAGATACTGAGCCATGGGGAGCAGAAAAGAACTGTCAAAAGACCTGCGTAACAAGGTAATGAAACTTTGTAAAGATGGAAAAGGATATACAAAGATATCCAAAACCTTAAATGCCAGTCAGTACTGTTAAATCACTTATTTAGAAGTGGAAAATTCAAGGATCTTTTAATACCAAGCCAAGGTCAGGAAGACCAAGAAATAATTCAGCCACAATTGCCAGAAGTATTGTTTGGGATACAAATAAAAACCCACAGACAACCTCAGGAGAAATACAGGCTGCTCTGGAAAAAGATGGTGTGGTTGTTTCAAGGAGCACAATACGACGATACTTGTACAAAAATTAGCTGCATGGTCGAGTTGCCAGAAAGAAGCCTCTACCGCACCAATGCCACAACAAAGTCTGGGTACAATATGCTTGACAACACCCTGACATGCCTCACAGCTTCTGGCACACTGTAAGTTGGAGTAACTAGAACAAAATAGAGCTCTATGGACACAACCATAAGCGCTATGTTTGGAGAGGGGTCAACAAGGCATACAGTGAAAAGAATACCATCCCCACTGTGAAGCATGGTGGCGGCTCACTGACTTTTTGGAGGTGTGTGAGCGCTAAAGGCACAGGGGATCTAGTAAAAATTGATTGTGCCATTCTGTTATAACCTACAACCTACCTTCCCTGCTCACTCATGTTTAGTTTAAAAATAGTAAATATATTCAACAAGAGTATGCAAACTCTTGTGTACAATTGTATACTGTGCCCTTAAGTTGCAGCAAAATGTGACACAAGGTGCACAATACTTTTAAACTGCAAAACAACCAACAAATACAGTGTATTTAAACTACATAGAACAACAGTGTCAAGTATATAAAAATATTTTAAGTGCACTATCTATTTGATAACATAGAAACATAGAATGTGATGGCAGATAAGAACCATTCAGCCCATCTAGTCTGCCCAATTTTCTAGCCTTATCTTATAGTTAGGATAGCCTTATGCCTATCCCACGCATGCTTAAACTCATTTACTGTGATAAAGTGCAATAATCAACTGTGCACAACCAGTATATAAAATTTATATATACTGGTTTTCCTCAAAAATAAGACATCCCTGAAAATAAGACCGAGCTTTATTTTTAGGGGATGCTCGTAAGCCCTGCTCAAAAATAAGCCCTAGTTGAGATCGTCCCTAGTTCGCTAATCTATGATCGGGAAAAGATTTGCTGGATTCCATGCACTAGTCAGCATATCTATGTTCTTGGAAGTTTTCCTGAACATAGATTCACAGGATTCCATGCACTAGTAAACTAATATATATTTAAGACCGGAAGTCTAAGAATCTAAAGTGATAGGGCAATAGAGGGAGTAAATAAAACAAAATACAGGTAGTGCCAAAGAGAACAAGCAGGATAAAAACACACACAAAAAAGTAGTCCTTGATATAGTCCAACAGTAAAAGAATAAAAAATACCAGGTAGCAAGACACAGTCTTAAAAGTAGTAACATTCTATCTTCCAATATTCATAAAGTGCTTGCGGGACAACTTCGGTCAATAGCAGCATATAAAATATACTAAGTAACACACGACATAGTCTAAAAATGCCAACTCACAACTGATAGAGCTATGACCAGCTCTGGATAAAACAGCATGCGAACCTAGTAACATATTTCCATTCTATTGATGGCCTGTTTTTTTTATTTCAAATGGCCCAGAAAGCGCTCAATGTGTCTTTAAATCATCTAAATTCAAATGAAAGGGGTATCATTTTAAAGGGACACCCCAGGCACCCAGACCACTTTAGCGCAGGTTCCCAGGAAAACAGGTTTGTGTTCCTGGCACTGGAGAGTCCCTTTAACTCACCAAAATAGTAAAGATGAAATACATTTTTTAGATCTTCAGATTTGTATTAAGGATGGCAACATCAACACCAGAACCTTTTTTTTTTAAAAGTATGTACAAATACACTTATAGATCAGACCAGCTGTCATGATGCTCCCTGGCTGGAAAGTGTATTTTGTTTTACTTGCCAAGTTCTTTTTAGGGTTTTAGAAGGAATCCCCTGCGTTCAGGTGTGCTGCCTCTTCTATCTATTGTTTAGTTATTCAGTGCTGCTCCATCCCCCTTGCAATAGAGGAAGTAGAAAGAACTAAGATTAGAAAAATTCTAATTAGACAATTCATTACTTTCCCCGAAACATAGATTCACGGGATTCCATACACTGGTAAACTAATCTATGTTAAGAATCCAAAGTGATAGGGCAAAAGAGGGGGTAAATGTAAGTAGAAAGTACTAAGAGTAGAAAAATTCTAGTTAGAAAATTCATAGATTTGCGGGATTTTGTAAATAGGTATTTGATGCTTGAATCTTTTTTTCTATCTGGTTTATAGTTCAATTTGTAGCAACAAAAGAAAATGTGATTTCCCCCATCCTAAAGGCACAGGAATAGAGATATTTCCTAAAGTAATCACTTTGATGTCCTATCAGAAGAACAGTTAGCTGATAGGATGAATATTTAGAGAAATATATATATATATATATATATAAAAAAACAAAAATAGTAATGCACTCCACCTTCCTTGATGTACTTGCCTGGTGCTAATCAGCAAACAGATACAGCCAAAAGTACAAGATAGCACTCCAGGGACTTCCAAGTCGAATGAATAAAACGTAGCTTTTATTAGCTCAAAATAAAAATCAACGTTTCAGTCTGTGTCACAGACTTTCAACAGGAAATATATATATATATATATATATATATATATACACACATATTGAAATTCTATGTATATATTTATGTAATATTTTTACATAATTAAGTAATTTCATTAATTACAGTCTGAGGGACCTGCCTGACAAACCAGGCAGAAAGTCCACAGAATTTGGTTCGCAGGCCCTATATTTAACCCTGTAACTTTCCAACACCCAATAAAATCTGTACGTGGGGGGTACAATTGTATCACGGGGGCGGGGCCTGTCTGCCGAGCTGAGCAGACACTAAGCAGAGCAGCTCCTGCTCACGGAGGCAAAATTTGTGGCATAACTGCTCCAAAATTGTCTATACTCGACATATTAGGCTGCCAAGCCAACGGTGACACTAAGGGGCATCTAACAGTACCACACATGCAGACCTACTGGCCAGAACCCCCCGACTGTACCATGAGGCCTACAAGCAAGGCAGACGCGGGAGAGACGGCCTCTCTCCTGCTGCCCAACGAGACTGGAAGGCTGACTGCGGGCCCTTGTCCTCCCCCCTATGGACTGGAGGGGGTTATCCCGGTACCAGGAGGCTGCTTGCATGCTTTAACACAACGATCCCAGCGGCAACCCACTACTCCTGGCATGGCGGAGCACTTACATGGGCCTCCTGCAGAAGAGCAGCCACGCGCTACACGCGACAGTATCAACGTCATCTTCACAGCCTTTTGGCTCCGTCTGGAGATGAGACTAAGAGGCTCTCCCCTGCCCACACAAAGCAACTCACCTGGCGATGCATTTTGCAGGACTGGCCCCCGGACACATCAGGCAGTTATTCAGGTGGCCACCACCACTGACCTGCACTACTGTCCCACTGACCAAAAGGTACCAACGGTGCACAGCTTACTCCGAGCGGCATCCTCAGAAGCACATGGGTATGCGGGGTCTCCGTGACTTATGTTTTTGATTTTCTTAGTTACTCCTAAACGACATAGGTCAGCACAGTTCCTAGCTTACCTAGTCTTATGCTGACACACCCGACTAATCACACCCAGCTATGTTTTTCCTTCTGATGTGCACCTAGTTTGCTAGCTCTAACATACTGCAAAACTGTGCAGCTTGAACGTACATCCCCTTCAGCAACTTGTTTTTTTTTCTTCAGTATGCCTAACGAGTACAATACTATCACAGACCATAAGACAAGCTAGTTTCACATAACATGGTCTATCTCTCCACTGTCTAACCTTTTTTTTTTTTATTATTATTCTAACAATGTGCACAGTATAATCAGATGCCCTGTCACATTTATATTGCCTACTACCATAGCATAGCATGTTTGCCATACTATCTATATTACATGTACAGCTCAGAACCAAACTCTTTAATGCTGGGACATGTCAGATAGTTTAAGCCTGTTTTTTTTTTTATTTTATTTTTTTTATATATAAGCAAAGGAGCACTGCTCCACTAAAAAGTCAGTACCCCCACAGTAACAAACGTGGACGAGGCCTTAGAAGTTGCCTAACTACTGTCATGCTAAATTTACATAATGGTTCTATGTACCTAGCTAACATGAGAAGGCAATGTTCTTTAAAACATAAAATGAAGCAGACGCTCATGTGGAAATATATCGATGTTATTATTTACTGTATTCATGTGCTTATTCACTGATATATCACAAACACTGAGCAAAATTAGCATTAAAATTATTTTTTTTGCAATTTTCACACACAAACAAATATGAACGCTAACTTTGGCCAGTGTTTGTGACTAAGTGGCTACTAAAAAAGACTGGACATACCCAATTTGTAATGCCTTGGGTTGTCTACTATTGCAAATGGTATGCCATCATGGGGGTAATTCTCATTCTTGGGCTACCATTTGATCTCAAAGGAAACATAACCAGTCTGGCAAATTTCAATGTGTATAAACTGAAAAATGTAATGTGCTATATTTGACAATGTAACTCTCCAAAACACCATAAAACCTGTGCATTTAGAGTACTTTTTTTTTTTACTCGTGAGACAAGAAGATGAGAAGGAATCAAGATGACTCGCTAGCATATTGGGAAACTTGAAGAATATTACAAGTACAATTCTGTTTCGCCATGCTATAAAGTCTGCATAGGTAAAATATAATCATGGTCCCACTTGGTTTAAAAGCGAAGACCAAATGCGCTCTGTAAATGTGATTAAATATTTCTTCTTACTTCCACAGTGCACTAGACAGAGTCGGGAGGCAATTAGCAATTATTGGAGATGATATTAATGACCGCTACGAGGCTGACTTCAACAACATGCTGCGTAACCTAAATCCCAATCTGGATAATGCTTATGACTATTTCAAGAAGATTGCATCCAGGTAATATATTTTTTAATAATTCTTTATTTTTGCAGTGCAGGTAACTACAGACAAGCTTGTCATGCCACGACAGCATCGACAGGCGTTCAGTATCATACATGTTGGTACATAAGCATGACATGTAAAAATACATTGCACTATTTTAAAGTAAAATAAGGTGATTTTAAACAAGATATTTCAGACAGGTCTAGAATTAACTCTAAAACAAAATCAAATAAACTGCAGGTTATGGACAAGCAGGCATTGAAAACTAGAATAAACTTTAATTGGCAGAAGGCAGAAGTCTGCACTGATAGATTAGACTGAGTATAACGACCTAAGTAGGTTAGATTATGCAAAGTTAGATAACAAGGCTTGTATAAAACCACAACATCTATGATTGCATTCAGGTAATAATTAGCAATATTGAATTGATCATGCTGGCAGAAGAGTGCAGGATCATATCAATTCTTATAATACATCACTATGAAATGTACAAAAAGAAGGGCAACTGTTTTTTTTTTTCCTATTAATATTAAGAAAGGTTTGGACAGTATTAGATTGAAATTTGCATTAACGCTTATGTTGATTAAAACTTCTACTTCCTCAAAAAAAAATCAATGCAAAGGGGGCAAGAAATTTTTGGGGAAGTACATATAATAAAATAAAGTCAGAGCATTTGAATAATACACATTAATACTCCGTTTTATTAATACACAGAATAGATAGCAATGCAGTAACATGCAAATTGGGTGTGAGCAGTCCAACCAAAATAATAGCATGCTCAGCCAGATTTATGTTTTGAAGAATTGTTTATGCTTTATTTCCGTAAAGCGGCACTGTCATGCCGAACTTAACTTTCTTTAATCGATTCCTTTTCTCTCCCTCTCTCAGGATCTGTTCTTCATTTCTTCCTGCCTGCTCTAGTTTTCCTTAAAACAAGTAGGGACTATTTGTCTTATGGAGGTTTCCTGACCCTCTCTGACCAGCAGAGGGGCAAAGTGTGCTTCATTTCCAGTGGTCAGAGAAATTTTCACACAATTCTTAGCTTTCCTCCCTGTTCCCGCGATGCTTCCTTTCACTTTTCCTGAACGTCCTGTCACTTAGACAGAACGCCGGCAAAACTACCGAATTGCGTCCTAACAGAATGAGAACAGTTTGTTCATTCATGTTAGGACGCAATTCGGGACTTTGTTCATTTCGAATTTGAATGAATGAAACTCCGATCCAATTCGTGCCGCGGCTACATCTACATCCCACGGTATTAGGGAGCCATCTACCAAAAGGCTGAAAGAACTTAATTGGTCTTTCAGACAAATTTACTAATACGAAGTAAAACTTCGTATTAGTAAATTCTGCCCCTACTCGCTATAATGGATGATGGATTCATTTTTTTAGCGTCGGGTTTTTTCTTTGTCGGATTTTTATTTGTGCTTGGGTTTTTTATTTTATTTTTTACAAGTTCGATGGGTATTATGGTTTTTATTTGGCCTTTTTTGGGGCTGAAAAATTAAGATTTTAGAAAAAGAAGACATCAAATGGTAAGTTTTTTTTTAATTTTTTTTTTACAGGTACTTAGTTCTTTTATTCCCCCCTCACTGTTTTTAGGGTGAGGGGTGTAGGTAGGGGATTATTAATTTTTTATTTGGGTGGGGAGTTACTAGGGGCTTGGGTACCCCTAGTCAACTTGGGGTGTTATTTTCATTTAGGGCCCCCACCTGCCGCTCAGGGGTATGAGCCGGGGGGGGAGGACAATAGCCCCCCCCCATTATCCTTTAGGGCCCCCACCCGCCGCTCAGGGGTGGGGATGGGGAGAGGACAATAGGTGTCCCCCTCTCATTACCATTTAGGGCCCCCACCCATCGCTCAGGGGTGGGGCCGGGTAGAAGGGCAATAGGTCCCCCCTTATTGTTATTTATGGCCCCCACTCGCCGCTCAGGGGTGGGGGCCGGGGAAGAGAACAATAGGTCCCCCCCATATTCTCATTTAGGGCCCCCATCCGCTGCTCAGGGGTGGGGGCTGGGGGGTTCTAGGTCCCCTCTTCAGTTTAATAGCCCCCACTCGCAGGGTACAGGCTGCTCACTGTTTAGTAGACATGCCCCTACTCGCGGCACAGCGAATAGAGAAATTCGGGAGATTTCAATCTCCCTTATGCTATTATGACCCCCTTAGAGTGAGGGAGGACATGGAGGGCTTAGGAAGTGGCGGAGAGCACTGCTCCCTGACGCTTCTTTTTTTTTTTTTACATTGTACAAGGAGGGAACTGCGTGCCAGTAGCTCCCTCCTTGTAATAAACTGAACGAACAAACACCGATATTCAGTGTTTGTTTGTTCGTGTGACATTTCAGAAAGACGAATGAATGAATAGATGAAATTCCCGTTCGCATGGGCATGTGCAGGAATTTCACAGCACTATCTAGTGTGGGCATATGACGTGTCTCACAGGGACTTCATCTACCCACACAAAGATGGCGGAGCCCAGGACCTAGGTCCAGGAAGATAATAAAGATAAAAAATAGGTGATATGGGGGCTTAGGGGCATTTGGGGGTGACTTGGGGGGTCAATTAGTAGTAGTGGAGATGGCAGGGGGTTAAAAAAGAAAAAAACGGGATTCAGCCATGACCGTGCCGTTTTAATAGTGGTATCGATGTATCAGTTCACACAGTAACTTTCATCAGAATGAAATTAAGTAATTAGTCATCCTGCAGCATATACATTATACATACTGCAGGGCATACATATTTTCATTAACATGATCAAATTTATGTGCTGGAAAATATGGTACGTACTTTTTTTTTTTTCAAGAATTGGGAGCTGCTAATGATTGTTTCAGAGCGTCAGCTGAACAGCTCTTTCTGAAACTCTGTTGAATAAACTGGATGCACAGGGAGATCCAATGCTGGAGTGCAACCTTTGGGGTTAAACCTTTTCAAATATCGTTTAACTGCTTCAGGTAAGAAAGCACCAGGGGTCTCTTGGCACCATAATAACGTCATTTTTATGAAGTTGTTATGGTGCCCATACAGTACCTTTAAATCTTAGGTAAACAAGCAGTGTAAGTAGTGATTTAAGGCAATTCTGCTCCGTCAGCTTTTTTGTCTACATTTTCCTTTCATTTGATCCACACACACTACACATACTACAAATACATGAAAATATTCCACACTGTACAATAATGTTTGATTGTGTTGTCCTGTGTGAAGGCCTTGTGCTTATTCAGTAAGTGGAGTTTTTTTTGTTTTTAATACACTTTATGTGCTCCAACAGTTGTGTGTCAATAGTATGTTGTGTTTAGGGATACCATGTAACTCTCTGTATTCTTTCCTCCTATTATTTGCCATCCTTACGGGCAGGTCTCAAGCTTTAGCCTAAGGTAATTTCACTTCTAAGGGTTACCAGTATTTATTAATTAATTTATTTTTTATTACTATTCCTAGAGTCTTTAGTCATTTCCTTAATTCTTATTACAATTTACATTGATTATTTACCATTTGTCAGAATTATGTTGCTTTGGGGTCTTTTTTCTAGTTGTTTAGCCACACAAACTAATTTTCCTGTTGTTAATAATGTATATTTTAACAGTAAACTTTGTGTTAGCCCATTTTTGTGCTTTATTTGGGTAAATTTTTTCTGCTTCTCTCATCTGCTTTAATCTTCCATTACCAGTGGTTCTCAAATGTCTTTTTTTATTTTGTATTTATTTTTTACTGTAGTGTCTCTGAACAGGGTGGCCATTAGAAAAATACATTAACAAATATTTATTGCTGTTTTTATCCAGTATAGATTGTGGCAGATTTATGCTCGTGTGCTTGCTACACTTGAAATCTGCTTCAACGTGCAGTTTGTATAAACTAGTTTTCAGTCGTCTTCATGGTGTATTCCTTGGGTTTTTCAGGCAATCTTATCATTCAAGAACTCTGCTTACCATAGCTTTAAAGGTTTTTAAAAGTAATGGTGGTGTGAACGTCTAAAGCTTAAAGGACCACTCTAGGCACCCAGACCACTTCAGCTTAATGAAGTGGTCTGGGTGCCTGGTCCCTCTAGGGTTAACCCATTTTTTTTTATAAACAGCAGTTTCAGAGAAACTGCTATGTTTATAAATGTGTTAATCCAGCCCTCAAATCCTCTAGTGGCTGTCTCATTGACAACTGCTAGAGGCGCTTGCGTGATTCTTACTGTGAAAATCACAGTGAGAAGACGCCAGCGTCCATAGGAAAGCATTATGAATGCTTTCCTATGAGACCGGCTGAATGCGCGCGCATTCAGCCGAAAGGGAGGAGAGGAAGAGGATTGGAGGCGGAGAGCTCCCCGCCCGGCGCTGGAGAAAGGTAAGTTTTAACCCTTTCCTCTCCCCAGAGCCCGGCGGGAGGGGGACCCTGAGGGTGGGGGCACCCTCAGGGCACTTTAGTGCCAGGAAAACGAGTATGTTTTCCTGGCACTATAGTGGTCCTTTAACTACTGTATGTAACCTTGTTCAATTCCTCTTACCCTCATAAAAAAGTAAATAAAATCCAACTACAAATTCAAAGGAAAGTTTACAATAAACCCCTATCCTGTGTATGTGTTTATTGGACGGGTCTCACAGCTATGATGGGTTTTTTTCAGGTGCCATCTTCTTTGTTTAGACAACACTTGTCTTAGATCAGAGCTGGCTAGACCACTTGTAAAATGAGAGATTGTTTGAGCAGCTTAAGGTTAGAAAAGTTTATTCTCTTTTTTTATTGTTTAATTTATGATTTACTTGTTATAATAGTGTTAAAAAGACAAAACAAAATAAAAATACTGTGTCACAAATAACTGCCTAATTTTTTTTCTTTCTCTCTAAGTATTTTTGAAACTGGCGTAAACTGGGGTCGTATTTTTGCTCTCCTCGGCTTTGGGTACAGGATGGCTGTTTATGTTTTCCGCAATGGACAGCATGGCTTTTTCAGAACAGTCGGTCAATATATGGCTAGATATGTGATTGAGAGCAGCATTGGTCGTTGGCTAGTGAGAGAAGGAGGCTGGGTAAGTAAATGTAACAATAGCAATGAAAAGCCAATTCTGTAATAGTGACAGCAAATGCAAAATGCTGAAACATTGGGATAACAAAAAGTTACGCTTTATCAAAAAGCATTGAGAAAGGGGATAGATCAAAATGAAAGTTATTACTGGCATTTATAAAGCACCAATGAAAGTGTAATATACATAGACCAAAAACAAAAGATAAAGAGGGCCCTGCCTATATGCTGAGATTTGAATATAAATGCTGGATTGAAAACCATGTTAAATGTTGACAGAAACATATTGTCAAATATAAAAATTATTTTGAAACTCAATATATTCAGATGGTCTTTTCAATAAACATACTTTTTTTTCTTCACTTAGGCTGCAGTTCTTAAATTAACAAACAACAGCATCAAATATGTTCTCATGGCACTGGGGACTGTTCTGATCTTGCAGTTCTTATTTCGACATACCTCCTGACCTTTCCCTTGGAAATTTCCAGCCTACAAGAAAATTAGGGAAACTTTGCAATATCTGGCCATTTGGAATAAATGTCACAGCGCATGACCTTGAAGAGTTTGCCCTTGGAGGAATGACCTTGTTTGTCCACATGCCATTTTACATGTGTTTTACTTAATCCCTGAATTATTAAATAATTGTATAACTGCTTAAAGAAACACTTAAAGGAACAACCCATCACCCTATGAAGAAACCATTTGTTTAAACTCCTGTTTTCTCCCACGCTGCGCTGAATTTGGCAAAAATGCAGTGCTGCGCCAGTCAGCATCTCCTAATAGAGATGTATTGAGTGTATGCATCTCTATGGGGAATGTTCAGCACCTCCATGCAGAGCATGAAGCACCTCTAGGCACCAATGTAAACACTTCCTGTTCTCTGGAAAGGAAATGTTTATATTAAAAAGCCTGCATGGACAATAAGTTCTAGTGGTTCTGGTGACCATAGTGTTCCTTTAAGGAATCAGATTCTAGTATACCACTGAAAATTCTCAATCTTTTAAACTTTTAAAGGGCATTGTAAGTCAAATCCGCAATGTGACTGCTTTTAATTCACCAGTCTCAGGAAGAAAATGATTAATTGTGAAAGGATGTCAATGGAGTGTCTCAGCACATCACTCTCGGCACATTACTGGTACAGATACTGCAATAAATATGAAATGGTTCCTTTTTTTACAAATCCATGTCTAATGCCTGTCTTTATTTATCTGTTTTTCTGTTTGTTTTTTACTCCCTGTATCCATGTTTCTTTTCCTGTGCCACTTAAAGGGTTACAGTAACCACCATGATCACTTCAGTGATTTGAGGTGTGAAATGGAGTTATTTTTAATTTGTGCTGAGGGCTAGTTTAACCCACAGAACATGTGAATTAGGCAGCCCAGAACTCTGTTCTAAGCCCTTCTAATATCAACTCTGTGCAAATATTACATCTGCACTGAAAGCAGACTTACAAAAAAAAAAAAAAAAAATATATATATATATATATATATGCCTGCTACCTTCACTCTCCTTCTCCATACACCCATCTCGATCCCTCTCCACTTGCTGGCTCAGATTGTGCACATGCGCTCTGAGCCAGTTAAACGGTGCAATCACAGGCTTTTATATGAGAAGTCTATGATTAGACCGTGTATCGGTGAATGTGTGTTTTTATGGCAGTGTTTGTGTGTGTCTGATTAGATGACCGGCCTTCTCCGATCGCATGGCAAAGGTGTTTTTACTCACCCTTTTTTTCAATGCCGCGCCGTTCTCGCCATTGCGGTTCCCACCTCCATAGCTAAGATAATCAATCTTAATGATGCTATTGCGCATACGCTGATAAACATCTTCTCATAGAGATGCATTGAATCATGTGGAAACACGGCAGGTATGACTTTGCTGCTGCTGCACACTTAGCAGCATTCTCCACCGATAGATTGATCTGCCGCCTTTGTGTCCTAAATGGAAGAAAGGCATAGTGGTAATTAGTTGTATTCCATAATTTCAAACGCCTAACTTACAGCCTTAACTAGTTCTACTTTCAATGGTGAAACAGATCAGTACAGAGAGGCCATAGCTTCTCCGTATTCCACTACATTATCTTCCATGGTCAGAATATTGTTGCATGTCTGCTTTAAACTAGTAGTGGAGACATTGAGTAGATTTCAATGTTTTGTTCTCTCTCATTTTGTGTTCCATACCTGACCTTGATCTTCCACTTCTGTTGTTGTAGTTGTAGTAGTAGTAGTAGTAGTAGTAGTAGTAGTAGTACTAGTGAACACTTTCTCTTGCTGTCTTCTTAGAATGAACCTCGGTGCTGGGAAAAGCAAAGAGCAGGTTATCATTGGGCTGAATGCAGAAGAAACTGTGTGAATGCTGTAGAGGTTAAAAGCAGTTAGTGAACAGTCTTCTTAAAGGACCACAATAGGCACCCAGACCACTTCCACTCAATGAAGTGGCCTGGGTGCCAGGTCCCCCTAGTTTTAACCCTGCAGCTGAAAACATAGCAGTTTCAAAGAAACTGCTATGTTTACATTGAGGGTTACTCCAGCCCCTAGTGGCCGCTTCCGCAATCCTTAATGCGAAAATTGCATTGAACTCACACTGGACGTCCATAGGAAAGCATTGAGTAATGCTTTCCTATGGTTGGTTTGAATGCGCGTGACTCTGGAGGAGAGGTCACCAGCGCCGAGGGAGCCCGGCCCCGGATTAAGGTAAGTGGCTATAGGGGTTTTAACCTCTTCAGCCCAGCAAGAGGGGGGCTCAGAGGGAAGGACAGCACTGTATTTCTTCGGATATAGTGTTTTCCTGACACTATAGTGTTCCTTTAAACAATATATAGTGTTTTCCTGGCACTATAGTATTCCATTAAACAAAATATGGGCGGAACCAGTCTGATATGCTTCATATATGTTCTCTCTGTAATGGCACAAGTAAGCAAAAACTATTTTGAGACCTGAGCGAGGATGTACCTAAGGGCAAGCTGTTGAAGCACTCTAAGCTTTTGCCCATTCTCAGAGTTCTAATTCTTTCTTTAAGCCTAGCTTTTAGTCTTAACTAATTCTACTTTCAATGATGAAACACAGGATCAGTACAAGGAAGCCATGGTTTCTTCGGATTCCACTCCATTATCTCCTGTTGGTCATATTATTGTTGCAGACTTTGATGTTTTGTTCTCTCTCATTTTGTGTTACAGTTTCCATACTGACCCTGATCTTCCGTAGTAGTGCTAATAAACACTTTCTCTTACTGTCTTCTTAAGAAGGGAGGGGAGAAGCAATTACATTGTTTGCCAGTTTGCAATGCATTTTGACAACAGACATAATTTATGCACAGAATTAAGGTCACGTATGCTGGGGGTGAAACTTGCCTCAGCACACAATTTAATATATCTCTGGCTGTGGAATGTTTCAAACTGAAACACTGCACATCCAGACTCCTACCACCATGACCACTTAAAAAAGCAGAAGTAGTCATGGTGGTTGGAGTAACCCTTTAATTGCCTTCTACAAAGAAATAAGTAGAAGTATAAATCAGATTGTAAGCTTGTTTGAGCAGGGTCCTCAACTACCTATTGTTCCTGTTACATTTTGTTATTGTCTGATTTGGTAAATTCCCCTCTTATTGTAAAGCGCTGCGGAATAAGCTGGCGCTGTATAAATAACAAAGAACAATAAAAGGTAAGCGCTAATTCACAAACAATATGTAAGTAGGCAGCAACCTTAAAGGACCACTCTAGGCACCCAGACCACTTCAGCTTAATGAAGTGGTCTGGGTGCCAGGTCCTTCTAGGGTTAACCCATTTTTTCATAATTATAGCAGTTTCAGAGAAACTGCTATAATTATGAATGGGTTAAGCCTTCCCCTAATCCTCTAGTGGCTGTCTCATTGACAGCCACTAGAGGCGCTTGCGTGCTTCTCACTGTGATTTTCACAGTGAGAGCACGCAAGCGTCCATAGGAAAGCATTGTAAATGCTTTCCTATGCGACGGGCTGAATGCGCGCGCAGCTCTTGCCGCGCGTGCGCATTCAGCCGGCGGGGCGGATCGGAGAGAAGGAGGAGAGCTCTCCGCCCAGCGCTGGAAAAAGGTAAGTTATTACCCCTTTCCCCCTTCCAGAGCCGTCGGGAGGGGGTCCTTGAGGGTGGGGGCACCCTCAGGGCACTATAGTGCCAGGAAAACGAGTATGTTTTCCTGGCACTATAGTGGTCCTTTAACGAAGGGGATCCCTCCAACCCTTCAAAGAACACAGAATAGTAAAAAGACAGGCAAGGCTGCGTCAATAAAACAGTAAAAAATAAATATAAGAGAAAGAGCGTTCCAATAATAAGGGTATAATCCACTGGAATAGATAGTCGGAAATAAAAGACAGATAAAAATCACCTTAAAAATAAAGTGTGTAACTCCAGGCAGATTGCAAAGGCAAGACACAGATTGCAGTCACCAGCAACAGTTCAACTTCCCAAGCAGGACCTTTGGTAACAGCAGTAACCGGCATCACCTGTTTTGCACGTGTCTGAGAGTGAGGCTTCTGTTCGGAACGTGCACTCAGAATCACGCCCTCCTCACCGGCAGCAGGAATACCAGCTACTCACCAACAGTATCCAGATCCATCCTCTTATAATCCGAAGGTCCTTGCTGGCATTTGATTTACTAGAGCCTGGTAATGCACTTATGAACTGTTTCTGGTTTATATTTTAACTATCTTTTATATATTTTTAATGTTTAATAAACTGGACTCTTTTTGATTACCTATCCGGTTTACTTTGCTTCAGTTCATCACGATCTATTGTACATATTATCCGAGCCTGCAGTTCCATATACTGTATCGCTTAGCAGCTTGATATTGTCATTTTTTTATCTTTGATACTACAAAGTATATCATTTTGAAATAGGTATCATGTACCCCCCACCTCATTGGGGATCGAGATACCTGTTTTGCACATTTTGGTTCAAGGAGTTTATTCCATCATCTTGTGGTGTACTTTTATACACATCTGTCTTTATTATTTTATTTATTTATATCTATCTTTTACTTATATTTCATACCTGTATTCTCACCCACCCCTCCCCCTTTTCTATCACCCACTACACTTTCCATCTACCTCTATTGCTGCCCCTTTTTATCCCTTACCACATCGTTTTAGTACTTAAAGGTACAGCACTTAATTTTTATTTTTATCTTTATTTCTATTTTCAACACCTTAGGCACAGTATCCACTTACTGCATTTCCACTATATTATATACCTATAAGTTTTTTTCACCACATTTTTAGCCATTAGTCACTAGCCAGCTCCTGGAGTTACACACTTTATTTTTAAGGTGATTTTTATGTCTTTTATATAGGTTTTTAGTGAATCCCTATTTCCAGTTTGAGCAGCTTAGTGCTAGTCTGTCTCCCTCTTCCCTGTGTGTTACACTAGGTACACCAAAGCAGTTCTTTTAGTCGGAAATAAAAGTCTCACTAAAATATCAGGATAGGGTGAGGGTGAAATCCTCAGGAGTTGATCTAGATGGTTAAAATATCTGTATATGTGGAGAGACAAAGGGGAGATACGACTAATAGTGCAATATACCAAAATCCAGGGATAAAAATGAATAAAGATAGGTAATAAACTCACATTGAAAAGAGCTATACCAGCTCTGGGATGGAGGGCGTATAGTGGTATAATCCCCGCTTAGTGGATATACAGGAGTGGTACGTCAGTCAGTACAGTCTGGGTATCCAGGGCTCCGACAGGTGAAAAAAAACACAACAATAGTGCTCTCAATATGATAAAAAGAGATATAAAATTATACTCACAAATATAGAGCAGGAGATTACTGCTCTATTTTTAAAGCGTTGGTGGAATGATCCCCACCTCTGATTTATTTGGGTACAGGAACAGATAGAAGTTTGCCAGGTAAAATAGAATTAAAAGGACACTATAGTCACCTGAACAACTTCAGCTTAATGAGGTTGTTCAAGTGAGAACTATAGCTCCCTGCAGCCTTTCTCATGTAAACACTGTATTTTCTGAGAAAATACAGTGTTTACATTGAAAGCTAGGAACACCTCCAGTTGCAGTCACTCAGAGTGAACCAGAGGAACTTCGGAGTTGATGGAGGCATAATAAGCCTCCATCCACTCAGATCTGCCGTCAGCAGAGCACAGGGCAGTGATACTGTGATTCAGTATCTCCTCCCTCTGCATGCAGACACTGAAGTTTCCTCATAGATATTCATTAATTCAATTCATCTCTATGAGGAGATGCTGATTGGCCAGGGCTGTGTTTGAATCATGCTGGCTCTGCCCCTGATCTGCCTCTTTGTCAGTCTCATCCAATCCTATGGGGGAAGTACTGTGATTGGATCAGGCTACCACATGTCAGCAGACTGCTTGTTTTTCTGAGTCTAACAGCATGCAGAGTTACAGCTTCTGGCTTCAATACAGTACGGTTTTTACTATATTTATGAAGGCATGAGGGGCCCAGGGGGGCTAGATGGTGGTGTTAACACTATAGGGCCAGGAATACATGTTTGTGTTCCTGACCCTATGGTGATCCTTTAAGTATAAAAAACATACAAAATTGTATATAAACTACAATAAAAGAAAAGTTGGTACAACTTAGGTAACCAAAAGACTTTTATTGATAAAATGCACAATTTAAAACCATAACGCGTTTCACCAAATGTGGCTTCTTCAAATGGAATAAAAATGACAGTCGGGCAAACAGTTTTTATAGGGATACAATCAGATTAAAATTGGTGCCTAAAAAAAATCAATTAGCCAATAGAAAAATCTGATTTAAAAGTGGTATAAAACATGAATAACAATTGTACAGTAAAATAGATAGACGAATACAGAGTAATATAACTATAATTATTGTTTAAATCGAGCATTAAATAACTTTATATTTACTAAAAACGATAGAACGTGACTTATGAGTCACAGTAATTGAGGGGAAATGTGGGTATTGTAGTTTTAGGTACATAGTTTGTGTATTTCTATTATTAGTAATAAGCCAAGCCACACACAGAATCTGTGTGGTCGGCTAATATGGGGAATTAAATGCACGATCAGTATTAGAGCTGATCGTGTGTATAAAATGTGTATTTTTACGCTGGCTGCACTGGGCATGTGCGGCTGGTTATAAAAAGGAAATGGCCGAGCGCCATGTATTGATTGGCGGCATGTAGCCGCCATATAGTGGTTGGCGGCGGTATACAGCCACAAATGGAAAATTATGTAGTGACCCCTTACAGCCAAATAATTGTGGTTGGCTGTAAGGGAAGTCGGAAGGCGCAATCAGTTTAGCGAAGCTGATCGCGTGAAAGTACCTTAGGTGCCGGCCGCACATGCTCAGTGCTGAGGAGTAAATGGCAATAAGCCATATTGTGACTGGCGGCATCTAGCTGCATATACTAGTAAAGGGTGGCTATATGTTGTGGTTGGCGGCATATAGCCGCAGCTACAGGATAATATAAATGGTAAGCGGGGGGGAAAAGGGAATAGTAATATAATATTTAGCAGTGCAAATTAGAGTATTAGGTGTACATAAACCACATATATGGTATTAAAATATTGCACAGTATGCATTAGAGTTTTAAGTATGTATGTATATGTGTGTGTGTGTATATATATATATATATATATATATATAAGAAAGGTTAACATGCTTAAATCTCTATCCTGGGTTAAATTTAAATCTGTTTGGTTTAGAAAACAAGGGAGGGAATGTGATAGCATTATAATTTGGATGAATACTTGCAAAAACAATATTCAGGGATATAATTTTTAATTAGTGCAGTAATAGCTCTGACTGCCATTTTTGTATCAAGAAGGATTTTTTTCCTAGCTTGTTGCAAAAGTCGAAGCGCTTCAAGCTGGGTTTTGTGCCTACTTTTGGATCAACAGCACAGACAGATGTGAGAAAGGATGCACTTGATGGATGCATGTCTCGTTTCAGCTATGTAACTATGTAATTATCCAGGATACCCTCAATTCCTCAAACGTAACAAAGATATGAAGAAAGCCACAAGAAAAGTTGAAGTTGCAAAACTGGATTTACTTTACTAAGTCAAAACATTATAGTGCACAGTCTGGTGGAATAATTCATTTTGTTCAAAATATTTATTTTTATATTTTGCAGCAAAACATTATCTAGTTTACTTGTGCATGGCCAAAAAAATGTGATTCTTAGAATCTATTTGTCAAAAAAAAAAAAAAGATTTGGTTCAGATAAACCGGAATTTATCCATGTGACGTTTCATTTCAGAAATTCATTTAGCACCTAGAACACAATTAAATATAACTCTGGTTGTGTAGTGCATTTTGACAACAGACATAATTTATGCACAGAATTAAGGTCACGTATGCTAGGGGTGAAACTTGCCTCAGCACACAATTTAATATATCTCTGGCTGTGGAATGTTTCAAACTGAAACACTGCACATCCAGACTCCTACCACCATGACCACTTCAAAAAGCAGAAGTGGTCATGGTGGTTAAAGTAACCCTTTAACAAAAAAATAAAACTGTTAACAACTTTATACTTCCTAGCCCAGTCTTCCACAATGAGCAATGACAAAATATAATGATGTACCTAATGTTCTTATATAGTGGCTTGCATGAATATTTTCAGATCATAAACAAATGAAAAAAAAAAAACATAGAGTGTAAATCTGTGCAAAATCAACTAAATTGTGAAACAAGTGCTAAATGCCAGCTGACTTAAAAAGATCCATAATAACCTGTCTCTAAGGTGTAAAGCTGATGGTGTCATTTTGGGTTCCACCACACTATCCACATTTGTACTTGTGCAAAAGGATAACCTGCTCTATCAATGCAAACCTCTTAGTCCTACAGTAACAATTCACCTAAAAGGCAAACATGGTAATTTCATTTACACCTTAAACTGACATTTTTCAGGACAATTTTTGGTAAAAATTAAATGAGGTATAAGTCAGCTTCAGAATTCTTTTTATTTGTCATTCAGTTTTTTTTTTATTGAAGCACAAATTTAACAAGCACTGGTATTATCGCAGTGACATATCCAGACAAAAAAATAGTAGCATTGTGGTATAGCATGTACATATATATGACAATCACAAATTCCAAGATGGTATGGCAGGTGCAGTTGCATACAGAATTTTCAAACCTCTTTTAACACCTTAAGGACCAAACTTCTGGAATAAAAGGGAATCATTACATGTCAGACATGTCATGTGTCCTTAAGGGGTTAAATAAAAGTAAATGACAACATAAGTGCATCGAATAATAAAACAAAACTTACTTTTAGATCTTAAAGTGCACTGAGTGAATAAGAAGCTAGTAAATAAATAAAGCAAGAATTAACCCCTTGCCGACCAAAGCCGGAAATTTTCCATCAAGCTTGCCATTGCGTTAAGGACCCTTGACAGACAATTTCCGTCATTTACTAACGTTAACGACTGATCACGGCGATCGTGGGGTTAACGCTGTTGCTGGGTGCCTCGATGTCACAGACAGACCAGCAACCGCCAATAGCGCTGTCCCAGCACATGTGATCGCTGTGACAACCAGTCACAGCGATCACAGTGCTGCTTGGATTTCTGATCCTCCTCCCTCCATATGTGTGTGTGTGTGTGTGTGTGTGTGTGTGTGTGTGTAGAGAGACGGATCGGTGCTGCAACATTGTGTTCTATTTTAGTTTAAACTGTAGCTCTGTTATAAAAGTAATATTATTACTTTTAAAATAATTTTTTTTTTTTTGTCATTCTCTTTTTATTGTTGTTTCACATAGCATGTACATGACATCCAACCAATGCGATATACATTGAGGAAACAGAGAAATATGAGAAGCAAAGGCATCTTTCCCCTTACAGCATTTGTTTGGAAGTTTATCCCTTTTCCTCCGTCCCCTTACAGCGATCTTCCCGTCTGACCCTTTCCCCCTCACCCCCCTCCCCTATCCGTCCCACGTCTACAAGCACTATGCTGTCTTTGCTTACTGACTCAGTACCTACAATATTCGCCTGTCGAATAGAGTTGTTTAATGTATAGGGGCATACGACTACCGTTCGCCCGTGTTCTCTGGGCCCTTTCTAGGGCTTTAGACGTTTCTCTCGCCTTACATCCCGTGGTTTAGTTCGCCTTACTGAGAAGACTATAGGGCTCTCTCAACTCCCTATCAGAAACAGGTATAGCCCCTCATGACCCCTCCCTCGGTATGGGTCCCCTCTAGGCGACCGGTGCTGGATTATATTCCCACATCTCCACCTCCAGTTATGGTACCCCCGGGGTGGGGGGCTCACGTCCCTGTTCCCGACAGGAGTCTGCCCGTGTCGACCGGTGCCTCTATTGTTCCTCTCGTAGCATGTGGGAGGTTGTCTACCATGTAGTCCTGTTGCCCTACTACCCATTTTTGTATTTATTGGTCAGGGGTGGACTCGAGTTCTCTCCGTTGGGTGGAGTCTAAAGTTGAGCTGGCGTCCGTCAAAGGTTATGGGTGTCTTACCCGTCTTAATGTGTAGTACGTCCTATGTCTACGTGACCTCGGTCTTACCGCTAATCATGCTGCACCCTTCTCGAGGTAGGTGCTCCAGGGGTACCATTTGAGGGCGCACTTGTCCGCGCGCTCCTGCAGGGAGGCCGTCATGAGTTCCATTTCGTGTATGGCTTCTACCTTATCCACCCATTGGCGATATGTGGGGATTGTCTGGGCCTTCCAGTGTAGGGGTATGAGTGTTTTGGCTGCGGTGAGCAATTG